AAAGTTTCTTACCTAGAATCGATTAAAATCTTCACTTAACGATAACGAAGATTTAACTCGAAAGAAACTATTTTTTATTATCTCACTTAATCAAGAGATAATATTCGTTCTCACTCAGGAGGTTGAACCCTGTTGAATCTCAACGAGAAACGATTCTGTAAATAATTCAACTCAATTAGTTAGTAAAATACTACTACAAGACTGATGGTTCGAAAAAAATCAGCATTGTCAAAAGTTAAAAAACGAAAAGATTCCTACAGAAAACGTGAGGGTGTGGGATGTGGGAGTGGATGTGGATGTGGATGTGGATTTGCATGTATAGTGTGCATGTGAATGAGCGTTTGGACAGAATAACACTCACAGCCACACCCTTTATTTGCGGAAGCCTCTGTTCTCAATACTGGAACCTGTGCTTCGCACCGCATTTCATAGTCGAGTAAAGCTCGAGTACCATCTAGTTAATTTTGTATTTGATTCTCGTTGAAAATCAATAACATATATTGAGACAAAATGAAGAAAAACTTCATGCTGACTTTTACTTGGACCTGAAACTCTAAGTATCTGATAGGGTGTAAAATGAAAAATCTCTGTGATAGGGTAGGGTAAAGGTACAAAGCCCCTAGGGCAGGGTAGGGCAAGGTTACGAAGTCTATAGGGCAGGGTAGGGTTAGGGTACAAAAAAGTCTTAACCTGCAGGACTCTACTCAACGTGCATATGACTTGATCTAAATTACTTCATGTCATCGCTTATTTGAGATAACAAATATTGTCATTATATACTTCTGCAGTTGATTTATTTCAACATATTATTTAACTAATTATGGACGAAATTAAAATAGACAAGCATATGGATACATATAGTATTAGGATCAGAAAAAAACAACAAATACAAAGTCATATGTGAATTAAAGTCTGAAAAAAAGAGCGAAGTTTCTTTATAAGACGCATAAAAAGATCAGTCGGTTTGTCTAAATTGTTCGAACGACGACGGTTGAATTTCACGTAATTGCGCGCTTCTAATAACCGCGATTTTTTGATGGAACTTGTAAATAGATCATGGGATAAAGATGTGGATGTACAATAATAACCACCATTTGCAGTACATTTCATTGTATGGACACCGAAACAATCTTGAAAAAAACTTGTTTTAAACGCAATTCATTCGGCTGAGATGATGGCTCAACAGGAGTTTTGAATATTGCCATTATTCATATCATGAATGATAGAAAATCATATTGAAATATAAATATAAGTAAAGCAAATGATAGAATTATACGTATTGTAACTGAACATGTATAAATAGCGTAACTTGACATACGAGAAAACATTTGTCGTGATCCAAGTACAGCATAAACAATGATAGTAATAATTGGTTCAGTTAATATAGGGATGTGCAGTGTCGGTGTGAATACTGAAAAACTGACCACTGAGTACACCGACGGTATTCTCAGTGGAGCACTGACTACGCCGACACTGTTCAGTGGAGCACCGACTACACTGTCACCGGTGTTACTGACACCGACTGCGCTGAGAAGACTGAATAATTCAATCAATGTTCCTGAATACTGATTGAATTATTCAGTGTTCTCAGTGTAGTCGGTGCTCCACTGAAAACACCGTCGGCGAAAGTCGGTGGTCAGTAAACCGACACTGCACACCCCTAAGTTAATATGATGTCTACATCGTTTGCATCTGCTATGGCGACACCAACATTGACTTTCGATAATGCTGCAGCATCATTCACTCCATCACGTTTAATTAGCAAAAAACGTTTACCAGTCATAACAACAAGATGACCTATGTCTTGAAGTCTTCTAGTAATTTCAAACTTATGTTGAGGAAAAAAACTAGCGAATCCATCAGCACAAAGCATCATGCTATTCATTTCATTTTGATGATTTTTTTCTTTCTTGAATTAGATTTTCATACACATACGTATATCGTACCATTTCCCTTGCACTCCTAATTCTAGTATCTTTCTAATTGTTTCAGTTGTATCAATTCTTAGTAGATCAGTATTGGTAAAAGTTCAATCTTCATTTTGTTTCAATAACAGCAACAGTTAAGTCACGCAATCTACGGTTAGAAAATTAGTAAACACCTCTTCGTACTCGACCAACACTAGTTGTTCTTTTACATCAGCGTCGAAGAGCATCATACATGATTTTTTTTCATACTCGATTAGTCATTGAATTAGATCTATTTTAATATGCTAATTCATTACGTTCTGTTGTTGGATCGAACGAAACAGCTATTTCTGATTGGGAAATTTAACGAAGGACAATCATGTTACAATTAAATTATCATTAAAAAGTAAGAAAATCGCTACATCAGGTTTTAGTTGAGCTAAAAAAAGAGATTTCCTTAAACAGTGGTAAGTTGTCTCCCCACAATCATACCAATCCCGGGATCAAAAATAGATTTTTGACAGGAAGAAGGTCTTACCTTTCCAAGTTCCACATAGTTGTGTTTGTTTAACTTATAATCGTTTTTTTACTATACAATAAACTCGATCAATGCAACCACTATTAATCGTTCAATAAACTTGTTAACTATCGTTCAAGATATCATCATTCAATACTTGTTCGTGGTATATATCTTCATTGGTTTTGTCAGCCATCTGTGTGAGGGTGAATCGGTCTAACTTTCTCTTTATTTCTTAAGAATAACAACAAATAACTTATCAGTGCTTTCTCTCGTCCACTAAACGAAGATGAAAATGCGAGAAGAGAATAAAGTAGAATGGAAGAGGGGTAACGTGCTCTTTTTCCATATCAATACGAACATTTTGTTGGCTTGTTCGAAACAAATGTGTCACTGCAACAAATTTACTCTTTTTCGTCACTTATCAAATTTTTTGTTTAAAATATAGTGCAAGATAAGGTCCTGAAATTTCTCACAAATGTGAATCTGTTTTATTTGTCTTTGCAAGACTTCGACCTCTCCTTTTTTTAGCTACAACAGAAATTATCTTGGATAAATATGCTAAGTGTTACGAGAAGAGCTTCGTTTCTTTTGGGTTACAATCCTCTATGGGTTTTTGCTCAATTACTTGGATTGCTGGCTCTTATTTTGATTGGGATTTTATTTGATAAGAAACATACTGCTGGTGGTTACAATTGGAAGACATCCCCGTTTAATTATCATCCGTTGATGATGACAATCGGTTTGTTATTCTGTTATGGAAATGCAATTCTCTCCTATCGAACATTGACTCGTGTACCGAAATTCACCGTTAAATTGGTTCATGCCTGTTTGTTAGTATTGTCGTTGATTTTTGCTCTGGTCGGTTTAACAGCTATCATCCGAGTTAAAAACGAAAGTAAACCACCAAGTTCACATTTCATGTCACTTCACGCGTGGATGGGATTAATAACAATCATCTTATTTGTTTTTCAATGGATTTTTGGTTTTTGTTGTTTTCTATTTCCAACATTAAGCTTGGAAATAAGACAACTATATATGCCAAGGTGAGAAAATCATGCAGAAAATAGTCACATCTATTTGTTATTTGATTTTAGTCATCGACTTTGGGGTAAAACTATATTTTCAATGGCATTAATAACGATTCTTATGGGCATAACAGAAGCTGGAGCGTTCGAGGCATTTTTTGTTGGCCAAGATGCAAATCGGTCAGTACGTCTGATGATGATATTCTTTGGCTTATTTACTGCTGGTTTTGGTTTTATTGTCAATTATTTACTTGAAAAAAATGATTTTCAGCGACCATCTGATCCAGACAATGATTCTTTGAACAACAACAACAACGACAAAAAATAAAAAATAAAAGAATTTTGTTTCACCTAGACAATCGAACCCAGATTCAATTCTACCTAAATAAAGGTTGATTTCATCCGAATATTTTGAAGTATTATTTATTCGCCATGTATATCCACGTTTCTACACTGCTTGTGGACAAACCTCTCTATTGTTTTCAAGGATATGAGGGGCTCATTCTTTTTTTTACAATCTGAACTGCCTGGTGCATTAGTCAGAACCCTATATATATATGCAAGCATATTTCTCAGACAAATAGGCAGCAAATTTTGCCAAATACGCTGGAAAATGCGGTCGGGAATCAACAAGAGCTACCACTAGACGTTTTGAAACAACTACGAATATCGCCAGGTGACTTAGAATCTCTAATATTATTCAAAATACAACATTGGGTAAAACTAAAAAACCATTTTAAAATTTTCGTTATTTCCGAATTAGACTCGTCTTAACTGCGCTTGAAAACATCATGTAGACTCGTTGTTATAGCTACGAGACGCTAAATAGAGGCAGTATTGTTTTTGTTAGAACGGATTTGAATAGAAAATATGATTTCATGCAAAACGAGACGCTTTGCAACTATGTGTGTCATTGTGTTCCAGCGATACATACGCTGGGAAACACCCATATTTATCTGGAGTGCCTAAATTGTGCTAGAATGCACATAACCTATTCTAGATGATTGGGCAAAAGTGTGAGCCTGTGTCGTAATTAAAATGCTGGGCTTAAAGTACGTTTTTCAGGGTGAAGTTGTTGATTGTTGAAGAAGAAAAGGTTACAATACACAATAAATAGACCCAAACGTTCTCACTCACACTCTCAAGAAAAATTTATCCTAAAATTAGTCAAATAGTTTATTGTATACATTTGTTCTTGTTTAATGAGTAGAATTAAGTTCTTTTTCAAACTTGAGTAATATTTTCATCATTATGAGCCCCTGTCATTCGAATATTTACTGCAAAAAACTATGCAAAATCTGATCGATTCATCAAATAAATAAATAAATAAAATATTTCACTCTTTCATGCCAACCGAATATGTTGATCTGCCTAAAGAAAAATAATGATAGGATGTGAATTTGTATGAATTAAAGATGCACCTACACTCACATCCTAATCGAAAGACTTATTCAGTTGCGAAAATGAACTGAGCGACCTCAATAATTTGGCAATATTAGCACCATAAATTTTCAATTTTTATTTACATATTAAGCATGAAAAATATCACAACTTGAACTCGAAAATAGATATACGTTGAAACAAAGTATGATTCAGGAAATTTTCAGTTTTTATTATAATACTAGCGTGATATTTTGTGTTTATTCATATTTTGGAGCGATCCCACTTGCACAGATGAATATCTTAGAAAAACTTGAATTCTATAATAACGGGTGCGCCAGGATAAATGTCCCTCTCAATTTTTTGGCTATAACTTTTTTTCTTTGTGCCCTATACTGCTGATTGTTTTTCCAAAAGATGCACCGTGAAATTCTCTGCAAAACAGTGATCAAATGCATTCCTGAAGAAAGTTAAGGGAAAAAATTATACGAAGATTATCCAACACATAAAAAGCACCCAACTTTCAAAGCTAGCAAGTGTCCCATCAACAGTCGAAGTTTGTACTTCTTGTTTTCATCATCTAGTAAGTTTATTTTAAAAAGACAGTATATCAGAAGATGCAGCGTGAAAAGCTCTACATGCTACTTTAAAAACCTTATGCACTCTTTCTTTCAAAGTGAGAAAAACTTTGTCCGACCAATTTTATATGCTGCGAAAAGATCATTTATTGGTCTCACGGAACGTTGCTTATTTTAAATAACAATCGTGCATATACATAAAATAAATTGTTGTTTGTAAATTGTAGAGCTTTTCACGCTGCATCTTTTGGTATATTTTCTTTCCTTTTAATAAAACATATTAGGTGATAAAAAGGTGAAATAAAAAAAAAACGAATTCTTAGTGTATCAAAAAATGATCTTGTTCGTAGTCTTGAAAATTAGTCGCATAGAATTTCGTTTATTTTGATAACAAAGGGTACATATATTAAATAAGATTTTTAATGTAACATGTAGAGCTTTTCACGCTGTATCTTCTCATATACCATCCTTTTAAAATAAACTTAATAGATGATGAACAAAAAAGATACAAACCTCCACCATGCATTATGAAAAACTCGTTAGCTTTGAAATTTGGGTACTTTTTATGTGTTGGATAATCTTCGTATAATTTTTTCCCTTAACTTTCTTCAGGAATGCATTTGATCACTGTTTTGCAGAGAATTTCACGGTGCATCTTTTGGAAAAACAATCAGCTCTATAGGGCACAAAGAAAAAAAGTTATAGCTAAAACATTGAGAGGGACATTTATCCTGGCGCACCCGTTATATATGCTCTTTTTTTTTCGCTTCATATATGTTAACTACGCATATGTTTGTCATTTCTTTCGCATTGTTATGCATTTTCATTACTATGTATTCGGTCTGCCATCAACACAACAACTATTGTTCGTTTTTCTTTCATATTTATTGCTTTCGCTTTTTCTGTTCTGTTAACGAGTACAAAAGAACATTTTTTTGTCGAACTTGCTCTACTGTTATTACGCACGTAGACGTATGAAAAATCATTAAGTATATCCTGCAATTCTCAGGAGAGGAATCATTAGCTGATTCTAAATGAAAGATAACTGATACAACAAAAAAATGATTGAAATAACAAATGAAAATAATCATATACATAAAAAAGTTCCTTTCAGACAGAATCCTGTTGTTTGGATGCTTTACTTAAGGATACCCTCATTGACCACCCCGTTTCTGGAGGGGAAATTTTTTCCGACCTCTTGTTTCATTGATACACATACCTTGAAGTATCTTCGATCGATCTGAAAAAATAAAATCTTCCTTTAAGCACGTTTTTACCCGGAAAAGAACGACTTTTTCGACAAAACTCGTCTTTGCGTTTAATTTACTGCTAGTCATCTCGTTTTTAGTGTATGGCCACGCCAGAGGAGTGTATCGAGATGCGTGAGAAATCTTTCAACTTCAGTTCGAGATAAATGACCGAGTTTAGTGGAGGTAAACTAAAAATCCAAATGAATTCCTCTGCGTTCTCTTCATCAACCATTCAGCATATGAAAACAACTTTCCATCCTCTCTTATCTGCTTTTTCCATTCTCTTCAAAATAGACGTGACACAAAAATGAAAATAGGATGAATTTTAGTCGATATGCTGTTTATTTCTGATTGCTTGTGTGACATAGACATAAACAAAATTTGTCTTTCAATGTAGAAAACAAGCCTATCGAATATGCAGTAGTCGAAAACCTACGAATTTTTGAAAAGGATGAAAAAAAGATGGGTATTCAGAAAAAAATTACAAGTAAATTTTGTTTTGCATTTTTCTGAAAATCAAATTTTAGGAGAAAAACTCATGTTTCACCCCGTTCCTCTGACATGGTAAGAGAGATCGAGGTGAAACATTTTCTACATATGCTAGTGGCTATTTGGGGTGGGTATTTTTTTTTCCAAAAATATTAAACTGGTGGGTTTTGGCAGCCTTTACAAAAGCTGCGCCAGTGAAAAACAGCAATATTTAGGGCGCGTCTGGTATTCTGACTTTTTTTTATCGGAAAAACAAAAAATATTAGGAAACGCAAAAACCTACCCACTCCAAACATTGTCCGATATCGATAAAAACAGTTCTAATTTGATCGAACGTGGAGCCTCTGAGAAACGAAGGCGAAATGTTGCGTTATTTTAAACGATTGCAACCCCAATATGTCATAGAAGACAGTATGTGGGAACTTTGAATCTAGCACCACCTTTGATATGCTCTGCAAAGTCTATTTGCCACGAAAGTTTCTAAATTTTCTGATGAGCTATTCTCCAGAAACCCGGAAAATATGGAGGGCACCCTTAAGAGGAAAATTGTCTTTGGTTTGGGTCAAATAATTTCAATAGTCTGATTTTTTAAAACTAGTTTAATCGCTATTGAGGGTGAGAAAACAACGAATATGTTTACAATCAAGTCTGTTGTCTAGGCATTACTTACAGGATGTGCGGGTATTGGTAGAGGCACGGCAGTTCAGTTTTAGTTCTGATCAAAAGAACTGTTCAGACAGTTCTCGTGATCTGATCTGATCTGATCTGAACTATTCAAACAGACCAGAACAAATCTAAAAAACTGACCGAACAGTTCCTTCGCTCTTTTGATCTGAACTTGAATCTCAGAATTGTTATATCTCTAAGTGTGGGTGTGGCTGTGGTAATCTCTCTAATTGGCAGCTATATCAATCGGCATACCCGCCCACACCCACGCCTACGAAAAATCATCCACCCAGCCTTCTGTTGTGCTTTCACCTTCACCCTCACTCTCACCCTGGCATACGTCTTCACTCTCAAACTTCTATGATAAAAAAGACATGAAAACATACTTCAGCCCTTCAAAAGCATTACACAGAAAATAGTAGAAAAATATTCATTTTATTTATAAAAGCAACTTCGTCATTGAATTCAGCAGATGACGTCATGGCATAGATGATCTCTTCAAAATTTAAAAAGGGACTGTTTTTGTTCGCTGAAAATGTAACGAGCAGCAAATGTATATAAGAGTCGCGTCAGTCAGCTAACCTCATTTTCAAAACTATCAACAGTATGGCGAACATATTGACTGCACTGGCAATTTTCATGTAAGCATTTCATGTTTTACAAATAAACGATATATGAAAATAATCTTACATGTTTTTACAGATGCTTTGTGAGCGTATCAGGTAAAAAATTCATAGGTTGTATACTCAACTCTATATTGTAAATCCTTTTAACAGGAGATCCACCAGCTAACTCTCAATGTCAACCTTCGACATGTGGTGCTCGAGCAGCGCCTTGTTCAACTAACGTGGACTGCGAATGCCTCGCACTTGAACTTTATTCAAAAAACGCGTGACGAACGCACTCGTAAAATTCGGTCAGCTTTCCAGTTTCTAAACAATAATGCAGTCTATGCGTTATATGCTATGAAAATCAAATGCACCACGGAGTACTCGTTTCCGTCAACAATTGAATAAATTTCGTAGACTATTATCTATACTTTAGCTCATTACGTTTCTGTTGATTGATAACTGCGAAAAATACTATTTTTGCTTGATACTAAACTAAATACAATAAGGTAAGCATTAAACACCTAATTTCCGATCATATCCTTACTTCGAGTTCCAGTGGTGTATGTGCTGCATCATTGCTTCCATGCTCGAGTCTAACGCCGTGTGCAAGTGATAATGTGACCTGCACAGTGCCATGCACCGTATGCGCTTTCAGTATTCATTGTAACAAGCCCATGTGCTATCCATTGGCACTCACTGACCCTCAAGTCTGCCCGCCACTCAACTCCAGTACACCAAGACCGAATCCCCAAACAACTACAGGTTAATTTTTATTGAAATATTTCTAGTACAATTTGTGCTCTACTCATTACGATGTGCACGTTTCAGCGTTTCTATTTAGCATATCTTGAGAAATTACGGAAAGGAAGCGGAGTATTTTGGAAAAACATGTCATGCAAATGTTAGCCTACCCTATTCCATCTACGGTCACTAATTTGATGAGTTTTTCATATGTACTGAGGCGAGAGATTCTATCAAAACGGTTTGTAAGAGGCGAATAGTGTGAATTCAAAACAAAATTCCTCTTTTACTCTCCTTAAGTAGGTTAGATTCAGTCTGACCAATTAATCAAGAGCATGAATTCTTTTCTTATTTTTTAGATGACTTTTAGGAGGTTCTCAAACTGTCTGAATGACTTATTTTTTTCCATCACCGGCCAGTTTCAATTTTTATAATTTCAAGCAAATGATAAAGATGCTTGTTGCAAACTCAGAACGAAAAACTGAATCTAGAAAAATCATTAGCTGGTCAATGATAGAAAGAAAAAGTAGATCATTCGAAAAGTCTGAGAATCCGTAAAAAATCACTTCAAGAAATAGAAAACATTCATGCTCTTGATCAGCTTGTCAAGCTGAATCTAACCTACTTAAAGAAAGCAAAAACATTCTTGCTTCAATTTCGCATTTCCTACACCTATCTCCTCGCGATATATTTCAGTTTTTCTTGGAAAAGATCGGATAGTAAGATCTCTTTAAATAAAATAGTTAGGTAAAGCGAGCGAACATATTACAAACTGAACTTTCCACTGGGAAGCTAGAAAAGCAAATTTTTGCATTCGGCCAGCAGCATAAACTGGGAAAAAGTTATGACACAGGTGTGAAGTTCGGTTGAGGACGAATATATGGCTGCGGATATATTTACGACTGTAAATACTTGAATCAGATAGGAAATGACAAATACAAGCGCTCTTTTATCACTAGTGCGGTTCTCACCAGGGATCTACATCCACATTTAGAGGCTTTACTATATCCTTTATAGTCCTGATACTAGGATTCATGCGCAATCTAACCATAATGGTAACCATTTCAATTGATTTTCAGTCTCTGATGCAGCTATTGATAAAATCTCACTTAGGAAAATGTCTTCTCAAACTTTACGTCTGACACAGTTCTCATCACACAAACAACATCCTCAAAGTTTCTGTTCAATGAATTAACGCAATAGGGAGAAAAGGCTTGGAAGTCGATCACCATAATTAGATTTCTCAACTGCTTTTGGGGGCCTTGTAATGCTTTTAGACAAGGAAAAACTTTAGTTTTCGAACTTAGGCAACTTTAAGCTGGCTTCATATCGTAAAAAACGGAAGAGTACTCAAGGGTCTCTGAAAAAGGTGATTCGTATCCGAAAATCCATATAGCCTTTAGGGTTTCCAGTATTACCATAATCAAAAAAGTCATTAAAGTTTTTGGAAGGGCGAATACCCATTATTTTCTTTAAAAGGCTTTTCTTTTACAGTGAAGTCCTTTCAAGCTATCGCAGGCATTATAGAATATCATTCAGTGACTTATATTATAATGTAGATGTTCTTTATAAAGCCCATATCAACAGTGAAATATATTCGTTGAAAGTGAAATTTCAGTATATCCTAGGGTTTGTGAGAATAGTGTACGGGCCTAATAATGGATGTAAGTCTTCTAATTGAAATAGAACGAATAGCTAGTTCACAGAATAAAACGAACTCAAATGATTGCTACTCTGGTAGAATTGCGCCTGACCACGAAATAGTTCAATTGAGATCTACTGATTTTATTTCGTTTAGCGTCAGCTACAACGAGAAACACAACATCATCACCAGTTTCATCGAGTAAATCTCTTCTCTTTTTTGCTGTTTTCAAACAATTCTGTGGTCTGAATATTGCTTTTAGCAACATCTATCGGCATTATCAGTACGACAACCCGGCCCATTGCTACAACTGAATGTAACACTCATTATTCATAACTTTCCTATCACTAAATATCCTCATCTTGCAGATTCTTCTTCAGCAACGACCTTCATTTCCACTGGTGATACTCCTTGTTCTGATCTCTTTCGCGTTCTAACAATAATGTTGTTTTTTTGTTATAAAAGTTTCCGTGCCGTTGGTGGCTCAGTGCCGTGCGGCAACATGTAGCAATTTTACTGCATGTTCGTCGAGCAATCCGAATTGTTTTTGCTACTCCGTGGCCACGGGCGGCGGTATCTGTGGTGTATCTATGAGTTGCGCTGGATTGCTTCCATGCAATAATAGCACTCTAACGTGTAACAACTCTCAATCGGTCTGCATCGTAAATACTTGTTGTATAAAACCGGTCTGCTTTCCATTGGTTTCTGCTAGTAACAGTGTATGCCCAACGGGATATCAAAATAGCACAGGTATGGAATAAAAATTGATCTTCATAATGTTGCTGTCTCTTTTCTTAGTATCATCAACAGTCGTCACGTCCATTACAAGTAAGCTTAACAATATATACCTTTCGGATCGAGATAGTTAAAAAAATCGCTTAGATAGAATAGGAACTTGATCACGATTGACTGGCTAACGAATGAGTATGAATGATGAGAACCGTCCCAGGGGGAAACAGCGATTTCTGATTTTGCGTCATTTTCTCTGATTTAGAATGATTTTCAAAAAAATAAAACTCTCCGGACATGAGTGAAAATCGTTAACAATCACAGAAAATGACAAATAGTGACTAAAAATCATTGAAAATCATGAAAAATCATTGAAGCTAATTGTAACTCTTTCAAAATCGATTGATTTATGATGATTTTTAACTGATTTAGCGATGATTTAAATCAGCTGTTTTCCCCTTGGAACCGTCACACAATCACCGCCGAGGACATATACGCCAACACACATTTAGTCGCCAACAGTTTTTTTAGTACAACTCCTAACCACGGAGGCATTTAAATGGAATTCAGTTTCGCCTAATTGAAAAGAGGCCCTTCTCCGTTTGTATAATGTCTCAGCTGGTTTTTCAGTCCACAAGGTTCAAAATCTGTCTGTAACGACGAGATGAAAGCTTTTTTTGAAGCAATAAAACGTTTTGTACAAAACTAATCCCAGGTTCTGTCTATTCTATTCTTCACTGTTTCTAGCATCAAGTTTCACACCTTCGACTGTTGTCAACTCGAGCTATTCAAGCACATGGACTACCAATAGTCAAACGTTTGCTCGAATATCCGGTGGTGTTGCCAACTATTACTACCAAGCAATTCGAGTGATTGTGAATACTTCGGGCAATTACAATATCACAAGCAGCAGTAACGTCGACACTTACGGTTATTTGTATGCGACCGCTTTTTATCCTTCAAACATTAGTCTCAATCTTATTGCACAAGACGATGATTCAGGTGGTAGTTTGCAGTTCGAATTTGGTCGATTCTTCAATTCTAGTGTTGTTTATATTTTGGTTGCAACGACGTACTCAGGAGGTGTAATGGCTCCATTCTCAATCATTGTTTCAGGTCCATCTAGAGTTAGTTTGCTTTACATAAATACCACATCAGTAACACCTATGAACAGCACAACTGCCACAATTGCTTCAACTACTCAAGGAACAACACCATTGCAAACACCAGCAGTAGCGATGAGTAAGTTAGAAAGACTTTAGGAGTGTTCCCTCACAACTAATCTCTCGATATGTTTCTACGCTTTCTTTCATACAGCACTGTAACCCATGAATTTCATATTGCTATAAATTTCTCTGCTAGTGAAAATTCTTAGTGTATTGCGCAAACAAGAAAGAGTGAATGCGTACAATACTTGTATTATATACGCCACAAAAAATTAGTATCTTTCTCATATGTGAATTTTTGAAAGCGTTTCCCTGACAAATTAGATACAACTGTTTTTCCTCTTTCGATCTGTGAAATCTGTTTTTCGAAATCTCATAGTAACTCTTATTGGCAAAAGATTTTCCGAGTACTAGTTTTGAATTATGCATTTCTCTCATTCTGGTTGACTGCTGGATCATGCGGCTGTAAGCTTACTGAATGAACAGCTCCAGCAAAGTTTCATTGATTTGGCAAATACTTCTAATATTGACACTTCTCATAACCAATAGGTCACGGCTCGTCGAGCTAATAAATGTTTTTGAGATATTTCACAATGGTACATTCCACTCGTATGTTTTGGATACATAAATGCTTTTTAAATTTATACCCTTGTATTTAGGATTCTCTCTTGTTTGACGACGTTTTGTTGGCAAGCATAGTAATATACAGATGCTACTCTAAGACTGCCATAAAATATTGTGAAGCACGATTGAAAATGAGCTTTGAACTTACAAAGTGAGAAAAATTAAAATCCCTCCCCTCAAAGTTCATTCTCAAGATTAAAACCGATTTCGAGAAAATGAACAACAAGTTAACCAAAACGGTGTAGGAAACGTCTACTGTAGTTAATCAGAAAATTTCCTAGTATTATAAAATATTTGACTTATTTTTTAGATTCATCGTGCCTAGTATGGAACCAAAATCCTATCGCCGTTGCAGGAAATGGAACTGCAGGTAATAATACGCGTTCATTAAATGGACCATGGGATTTGTCAATTGACACAAATCTAAATCTATATGTTAGTGACGGTGGCAACAATCGTATTATAAAGTTTTCAAGTGGCAATTTGGTTGGGATACCACTGATAAGTCGAGTCGGCAATGGTCTTAGCCAAGTTTCAAACCCATCAGGATCCATCATGGACGCTAACGGTAATTTATACATTTCCGACATGTTCAATTACAGAATAATGAAATATGCTAATATTTCTTCCGCATCACAATCTATCATCGGTCAAGTTGTTGCCGGTGGTAGTTTTGGATTTAATTACAATCAACAATGGATATCTTGGGGCGTAGCAGTCGATGCTCTTGGCAATGTTTTCGTATCTGACTATGGAAATAATCGCGTAATGAAATGGGCACCACGATCTACTAATGGAACTCTAGTAGCTGGAATAGGAAATGGTACCGCGGGAAACGGTACGAATCAACTTTCATGTCCATTGGGTATTTACATTGATCAAAGTATGGCGCTTTACATCGCCGACGCTTGCAATGGACGAATTCAAAAGTGGCTATCCGGTGCATCAACAGGTACAACAGTCGGCGGTGCTAACGGACAACTAGGTTTTCCGACTGATGTTTCTGTTGATAATTACGGGACCATTTACGCATGGAGTGCTGGTGGACTCTATCGATTTTATCCGGGTTCGACGTCGGGTACCATTGTTATTTCATCTTATACAGTATGTTTTGGTTTTAAATTCGACTCAGTTGGTAATGTATACATTGCTGACTATGAGTCGAATGTGATAAGCAAATATACCGTCAACAGTACAAGTTGTGGTGCGTATATGCCTTGCTATGAGTTATACAGCGTCCTAATGAACAGATCGTTTTTTTTCTATTCTAGGTACTAGAATGGCATCAATTTCAGTTGCATCATCAAAAGTTGCCTCAATGGCGGTTCCAAGTAAGAGAGATTCTCTTCTCTCAGTGAGACACCCGAAAATAGTTTCTCTTCGCATAAAACTTCTCATATTTGGTTTTAAAAATTCCACTACTTTCATAATAACTTCGACTAATATTCATTGAATGATTGAGTTCAGTGGAATCGTAGACATTTCAATGGATGTCTAAGAATAAATAAGACTCACTGTTTTTCTCGATATGCCATTCGATTTTCATAGCTTTAGACTGCGCCTCCCATTAAGATTCAGCCTTCGGTTCTCTGCAAATCATAGCGACAAGAGAAATTCGGTGTCGATTACTGGATTTAGCTCTGTTTCAAAGAACTTCTTTCCAAATTGTGACACTTTCTGTACCAGTTAAACACTTTTTAAAAGTTAGAAAAGTTCATCGGTTGTAATAATCATGAACAGTCTGCCTGATGAAACATGAGAAAAGTCATTTCAATTAAAATTATTAGCAGAACATTAAGTTTCCTGTCGGAAAAATTTGCACCTATCATATTTCAGCTCTTTGCTCAAGTCTAATCGACAGAAAGTGGTAGCTAGTAAGAATTCAAGTGAAATTTCTTATTATAATTCAGTAATTTGAAGAAAAGCATGAATTACAGGAGAAAAAAAATAATACTTAACAGTATTTAGTACTTTTTAATTGCTAGAAATATGAAAAATCGAGGTAAAATTAGGCATTTTTTGAAAATTTGACAGCAGTAGTACTTATCTTATACTATATTATTCTATTGTAACGCTTCTTAACTGTCTAATAAGATTTTGAATTTGATGCTCAACAAAATTGGTAGCTTAAATTATCGTTCTACATTGACACCAGAACACAGAACACATAAATGCTAGAAAACTATATTTTTTGCTTGAACATTGTTGATTTTACAGAGAATTACGTTCTAAATCGTTCTCAAAAGCTCACGCTAAAATAAAGAAAACGAAATATATTATTGAGAAAATACTATCAGTAACATTTATCCTGTGGCTACCCTTAGATATTAGAGAGAAATAGCCAATGAGCTGCAAGAAGATAATCACAGTATTGTTATTATAGCTTGAAAATATTGTCATAAGCTTTTCAAATGATATTAAGAACATGAAAAGTACGCGGAATTCAAAAATGATTTACATAACACGCCGAATGTTTTAGATATCTCTGTTTTCCTGATAAAAACATGTTTAAACAAGGTGAACTGAATAAAGAGATTATAGTGAGGTCACTGTTTGACTGCGTGGCATTGACTTCTAAAAATTAAACACTTGTATGTTACTAATTAATCTCGAAATGATCGAAAAGAAACTATAGTACCCATATATTCATAAGTGTTTGAACTAGTCATGATTTGTTTAGTCGGAAAACGAGTTCTTTTTATATTTTTTGCAGATCATCGAGCCATTGTAGAAGCGGCCATATTGAAAACTCGATCCTAATCATGGAATCTTACAACTTCACAATAATCAATACAAAATCATATAATTTACGCTATTATGCAATTTATACCTTTGACCTTCAATGTTTTGTCAAACTGTATTCGCTTCCTATCCAAGTGAAAAACACTTCTATAACAGTTACCCATCATATATTTACATGTGATGCTTGTTATCTTTTTTCCTTTATTTTGCTCTCATTAGAACACACAAAAATGTTCAACACAATCCTTTTCTTCAGTAGCTAACTTAAATCTATATAATCAATAATTTCTTACTAACAATTTTATATTCATATTTAATCTTGGAAATATACTTAGCTTAAAATTACCAGGGATTGTTTCTTTTCGGTCGATATATCCAGAAGAGAAAGTGAATGAATGGTAGTAATAGCATCACTCATAGTAGACCTCTACAAATATTGATAACGAAGGATGAAGAATATAATCAGCATTTATGCTTTTCAGAGTACCTATCAAATCGATTTTGCCATTACCAGAAGACTGTTGGTGGATTTGTTCCCTAGATTGAATGCTAGGGTCTACAATCGGAATTTCGCACGTGTCAGTCTGTCTATGAAACCTTGGCATAAATGACCACTTCTATTGTCGAAAATGTCAATTCTATGATCCAAAAAGATCATCTCTATGCAAAAGACAACTGAGCTTTTGAAGCTATGCTGTTAGAAAAGGGTCTGGTCTGGAGTCGACGCCCATCAGAAAAGTATCTATGAAATCAATTGAATATTGTTATCAAAATATTCGCAATCAAATTCTACTTCGAAGCATATAATTTTAAGGCAACATTGCTAGTGAGCCATGTCATGTTCTTATGCGCCTCATCCTATACCTACTCATTTAAATAGTTCGTTGAATTTAATCTGCAGTGATTTCAGTTCGAACGGCTTTTGCATGTTGATTCATGAGTGATTATCCACAAAATGCCACTTTCGTTTTGTTTCTGTCCTTGTTTTCTTCGATTATATTTCAAAAATATCCGGAATATAATGTTTTTCGCCATAATACTGTTTCATATATCAATAATAAAACGGAAGTGATATTTTGGTAATAGCTGTGTGTGACCTTGTGTCTCAGAATATCGCATGATTTCGTGGTGGGGAAGCACCATTTCTTTCGAAGATAGCTATTATCAATCTATGACACTTATTTACGAAAGATTATTTTTCAATAGGGTATCTCTTTTTATGTCTACGTCTTTGTGACTATATAAGGCACGAAAGTTGCCGGAATAAAATCAGTTAAAACTCTATCAAACTTCTTGTATTCTTGTCTCTATATAAAAATGATGCGCTCGTTCTTTAGTCTGGCTGTTTTATTACTGTCGATCATGATTGGCCATGCGAAGGTACAGTTTTTTTCCTATTCAAATGGTTTTTGAGAGTATCCCATTCGAAAGAACAAGAAAACTTAATCAACCGTATCGTTGCTTTCTTAATTTTCAATGTCTGAAATCTACTGACGGATTTTGCAGGTTCAAGCTTTTGAAATTAATTTAGTGCTCTAATGCATCGACTTGACAGAGACACTTTAACAAGGAGGAATATGATTGCCAGATTCATCGTTTGTTTGCTCGATGACAAATCCGCTCTCAATGTTACAGAAGTTATGAAGGGAAAACCTAAGACATTGTCCAATCTATCCAATTGGCATTATACTTTGAGTCACTCTTGTCGTTAGAGAGAGGAGACGTCTTCTAGGAGTATAGAATTTATAAGAGTTGATATTTTTCCTACACAACTTGTTTCATATCTATAGGCTGGCTTTGTCTCCTGCAATGATGCCGCCCAAGTTCGCTCTTGTTCGGCCAGGACCTGTAATATACTGAGCTATGTCGTCAAGGACGGCACTTATTCTTCTGATTGTTACGTCAATGGTGCTCCTGTGACCCTCGTTACGACTAACTCCAAATGGTATCGACTCAATTTGAACGCTGGTGGACATGGCTACGTGAGCGCCCACTATTGTTCGGGCAGTCTTAACCAGTGTTAATACACTCTTAATGAACGAACTAAACTCCATTTGCTCCTATATTTTCAATTTCTTGAAATATATCTTATCAATCTAAAATAATTGAAGTCAAAATATTGCGCAGTAGCAAAGGAAAAAGGAATGAATAGTGTCACAAGTAAACTACGTTTAACGGATGTACACACGAGTAACTCTCTTTCAAAGTTGGCGTTATAACCTCAGAATTCCTCATTATGTCATATGGAATAATATACATTGCACTGAGCATACTTCCACGAAGCTCCACTTACTTTTGACATCAACTTTACTGCCGACAAATTTTAACAGTACTAACATTATTCCCTTAACGAATTGTATAACAATTGATATTTATTTTTAATTATAATCATGCGCCAACTGTACACAGACAGGATGCAAAGTCAATTTTCGTGCACATGAACTCTAAAGTCTGTCTGCTGTTTTTGTTTTGCTGACCAAAATAGGATGGCTATCAAATTTACACATCCAATGTATTCTTTAGTCAAAATATATAGATCACAATGGAATTAACATTTTTATAAATAGAACTCAATGAGCATCACACGTGATTGAAGTACCTGAGTTCACCTCTTAGGATTTCATGAACTGGAACTTTTCGAAGTTAGACTAAAATTTGCGGTTCAATAGTGAGATTATAAAAGACTTTACTACATCAATGAGAGAATAACAACAGAATACGGTTTCTTTTTACTGGACACAAACCATACTAAGTATTGCCTATGATAATCATGTTCAAAAAGACTATTCAATGCTTCTACTAAGTCTTTGCAAACACCTTTATTTTTGTAAATCTTATTGGCGAAGACGATCTGCGTTGTTCTGTGAGATTGTGTATTTATAGTGAAAGAGGAATATCCTCACATCACACAACTGGAGCTATCAGAGAGATAATGTATACAGAAATATATGTATTGCACAATTTTAATCGATCTAAAAAAATATAAGATATCAAACTTATAAAGATATAATAGATTTTTTGTAATGTTCTCTTGCCAAATAGACATTTGAATTATTTTTAGTCTATCTACTGTAAATCATTTAACTTATGATAATAGGAAAATGTTCTATCTCGTATAATCACGAAAAGATGTCACACGTGTATATTGATGAGAAAAACAAATTTATTTAACTTTTAATTCCTTCCGCATTTTTCGTTTTTCCATAAATTATTAACGCAAATGACTCCATTCAAATCAATAACTTCATTGATTATTTTAACATAAGCTTGTGTTTCTGCATATTTTTCATTGCTGTTCAATTTCCCATGCCACTCACTCATATGATCATTAATTGTGATTGATCGTGGTTTATCATATTCGTCCATTTTTATCTCCACTATTTTGTCATCAACAAATCTTTTCCAGAGATCATTAGAGTATACTGGCGTATAAGGTTCAACATTGCTTACACTTATTGTTACATGAGGATATTCATTTGTTGAAGAATGGCTATCATTACTACCAGCACTGTGAACTAAGATTGCTTGTGCATGTTCATCTTCAGCGTAGGCTAAAATTGTTAAATTTTGTACGTGGCCATAATGTGTTTTATATTTATTCATAATGTCGGATCTTGGATTAAATTGAATTGTACTATGTTCACAATATATATCACGAGTGTTACCGTAGAATGGAGATGAACTTTCATGAGAACGAAAAAATTTATCTTTTAATAAATTCTTTGCATCTTCAGTTAAAAATACTGCCAGAAAAGCAGAATTAAAACAACCAATGATAGGAAAACATAGTAAGAGACAAAATATGAAAAGATTCATATTACCTAAATAATACTGAAACATATAATGAAACAGGCGAATTCCACGCTTTTTTCAATTTTATGTCTCAAATGAAAATATCATGAAAAATGACCAGATGTTTTTTATTTCACACCCTTTCTTTCCTTAAACAAATGAAAAAACAAGATAGAAAGAAAAACAGAGCACAAACATCCTAGTGTTTTATTCATATTTATCAATAATGAGAAAATTTACAGATGACCTATGCTCATACTATTGATTTTTATTCATATTTTGGTTGTGGGTGTGAGGTTTGGCTGGATTTACTTTTTAGAAGAAAAATAAATTCATAACTAGATTCTCAACTGGGTGTCCTAAACGTATTATACTTAATCAATTGAAATTTCTCAATTTTTAGGCTATCGCTAGTTTTTCTACAAGTGTTGTTATTTTAAAGCTTATACCGCCGGTGATATTGGTGACCTAATTTTCATAGTTATTAATGTCTCTTTCAGGTAATAAATCGAGAAAAGAAGAGCGACCATGATTATAAACTATCGATCGACTACAATCATAATATAAATGTGCATGCGCTCTTTTTTTTAATATTTATCATGGTTTGTGAGTAAAATAAAAAAAGAAGAAATCTACATAGAAAGCTGAGAAAAATAAGGTTTTTTTTAATTGTCAAGTTAACGAAATCAAATTAATTATAACATAATGTTCAGGTGATGTTATTTGGGTACGTCTCTCTTGATGTGAGGAATAAGGTTATTTAAGAGATAAATTAACGATAGATGAGCGTAAGGATGAAATAATGAACTATCAGAAGACAATAAATCGAAGGACGAATAGTCGATAAATGCCATTTTTTATTTTGTACTTCCTTTTCAAACATCGTTAAGTCCGAATCAAGTGACTTAAAAACCAAATTCGGACGAAATTTGACTCGATTCAACAAGTACACATTGAGCATCTTATCCTCAACATACATAATAAGTGATACGTATACGACGAATATTGTTAATTGATTCAGCAATGATTGTCATATCACTTTCTTTTTGTATGTCAGGGCGTTGATATGAATATGAATATGTAGCAATAGAGTTCATGTTTAAGTCGACATAGACGACTTTATTCATAAATTCGGATAAAAAAATCCCGTAAAACAACAGTCCAGGTCGAGGTTGACGGAGTTCATCTACGGTCGTAAACGGTCGCATACGGATAAATACGATCACCCAGTTCGATCGAAACGGTATCGTTTACGGTTCGTTTTCTGAAAGTAAACGGTAGGAAAACGACATCTTTATGGCAGTGAACTGTCCGTATTTTCCCGTAGTACTGGATGCAGTAATACGGCACTGTAAACGATACCGTATTTCGCTGTATACGGTCGTATATACGCCGGATTCTCATTATGATACGGGCGTATTCCTGCATCCAGTATCATGGCCATAGACGGTCTGTTTAGTTATCGTTTTTGTCACCGTAAACGGCCGTATACTGATTGTATTTTCTGACATGGGTACTCAAACGGTCAATAAAAATATTATTGGCAGAAAGAAAAACCACGACCACTCAACAGGCAGCTACACCGTTTGTGGCCAATGAACTATGACAAAGTTCGTAATCCCCCATCATGACATTATTGATGTCTTGTTCAATAATTCTAAAAATAGAAACACTAGATTAGGAAATTTCGTCGGTAGCTTTCTGTTCTAATATCAAAATATAGACTGAAGTTATTCAATTCCATCGATCTAGACAACCTTTCAGTGTTGAAACTCTTTAAATTATTACAAGAAGCTATAGATTACGAAGTCTAATAAATCGGGAAGAACAAAGAAAATGAAAAGTATACCCAAGTCGAACAGACACGGTCGTAAACGGCTAAATACGACAATATGCGGAGACAAAAAACGATCTCTTACGATTCCTGCACATTGAGCCCGTATACGATCTCCGTATTGATCCGTATATTACCGTATATGGTCGTATTTCTCTGTATACGACACGGTGATATACAATCGTAATACTGAGTCATGTATTACGGTCAAATATGATCGTATACGGGGACAAACGGAGCGTATACGACCGTTTACGATTGTATATGGACTCCGTAAACTTGACCTGGGTAATTTCATGTTATTCAATATATGGTCTAAATAAAATCTTCTTTGTAATAGTGACTATTATAATGCAAGACATAAAACAACACGGAGACGAACAGTTTAATTCAGTCACATTCAAGGTATCATTCAGATAATAGTCGATATTAAAGACAATGCTATCATACGAAAAAGAGTTCTACTAAATCGAATGAATCTTTTTGTTTAATGTTGAGAACGTATTTCGCATCTTACTATTGTTAAGGTACGCAAGTAATGTAATTATAGTAAATTATTTTAACACTTAGTTTCGATTCGAATTAAATGATTTATAGTTTATACGTGAAGAGAAAAATAAAATGTTAAAGATTTTAAGAGTAGTAGACATAGCACTTGTTTGTATATTGTAGTGATTTAAGAACGACAACAAGAACAATAAAATATATGATCTATGAATTGTGAAAGTGATCTCTGTCGATATTGTATACTTACAATCTCGACGGTTCATTCTAGTCTTTTTTTCTCATTCATTCCAGTCAAATTTGTACATTTAAAGTATGCATTCTGAATTCAAAAGATTAACAAAAAGTGAAAGAACAACTAATGAATGTTTTCTCGTGTCGTGAAAAAAAACTCCAATAATGATACCAATGTAATTTTCGTGACGTTTGCTTTCCCCTGTCATATATTTGATCAGAAAAAAAATCATTTTCAAAACTTCTGATTTTGCGAACAATATCAATGGTAATTTGATTTTGTAAACATAATGACAAGATAAATGATTTCCACATAAATATCTTTATTCTTTACGATAAACATTCATGAGTTCGGCATTCAAATGTGTTGAAAAAACTTCATTCAACATAAATCGACGATGTGGTTTTTTTTTCTAATAAAAATTATTATATTCCTAGCATGCGATTTCTGATCTATTGCCGATCAGAGAAACATTACAAGATAGGTCATATATGTAGGAGATTTATTAGTAATTGTCGCTTATAACAAAAATGCAATTCAGGTAAAATGAGTTTCATATCCCTTAAATATATTCTAAACAGTTATATGTTATATATCTGTTCTAGTGAACTAGGAACATGAAAATTCACGTACTGCGATTTGACTTAAAGATAATTCGTAAAATCTCAACAGTATATAGTTTATAACTAAATGAAGGATTATCTCATTTAGAAAAATGAACGACAAACTCTAACTGATCGATTGGCTAACAAAAATTCTCAAGTGTGTATTTATGTTGGTATCGTTCGTACTGGTGGATTAAAAGTAAGTTTTATTTCGTTTGAATAGCATGCGACTCTATTTCAATCTCGACAGGATGCTCGTTTAAATTATCCATCAAAAGTTGGTGTTAGCACCTATGCAAAATTATCATTGTCATTTCTATGATGAAAAAGAATCCGTGCAAAACCGACGCATGAAGTATTACCTGGTAAATCACTATTAGGTAATGGTTTACTTCAATCATCTAATTCAACAGCAGAAAAAGTGGCGCGAATAGAAAAAATTCACAAGACAAAACTTACAACAATTCTTTCGTCGAATTAAATTAAAAATTTTATTTTTTATAGAAGCCAATACTTAGTTCCTTGTTGCATAACAATGATGTTAATAATTACCGTATAAAGTTCTATTTAAACTCAGGTCGAACAGTACGATCCGTATAAGGTTATTTTACGACTATTTTCCGGGCGGAAGTTTGCCGTAATATCTGGTGCAGTAATACGGGCCGTATGATCATGAGAGTACAAAGCACAAGCAGCCGTAAACCATGAAAACTCAGTCCCGTTTACGGTGCCGTATTACTGTGCCAGGTATTACGGGCAAATAGGGCCTATTTACTGCCGTAAATATACCGCTTTGACATCGTTTACCGTGGAAAAACAGACTGCAAACGAGTCCGTTTTGATCAACCTGGGAAGTTCAGATAGTTACAATGTCTTCGTTTATTTAATTTAAATCACAAAAGTTATGATTGTAGATCTAGTCTAGTTCTTTGTTTTTTCTTCTTTGCTTGTAACGATACAAAGTAAAATACCTTGGGTTCGAATTCATTTATCATTTCAGTTTTCCGTGAACATTTTGATTATTTATTGAAACCGAACGTACGGGCAAACAGAATAAGTGTGAACTTTGCGAGTAGTGGCGGCGCCNTATTGCTTTAAGTTGTATATGTGTATTAAGATATTATCAATAAATATAAAGTAGCTGATATTTTTAAACGTGAATTCGCATGTTTTGATTCTTTATTCAGATTAAAAAGCACTCTTAGATAGTATAATAGATTCGAAAGACTTGCACTGTATTATATGAAACTTTCATAGGTTGGGGCTGAGCCCCCTCAGTTCGAAATTCCTGGCGCCGCCGCTATTTGCGAGTTTGATAATGATGATCGCGGATGACGTAAAAATCATCTGCTTTTTTGCACTTGCATATCTAAATCATCAAGAAAGTGTAGCTTATCTTATATATGACTACGTTTTACTTGGTTTTATAATTCGCTTGTGGGTGAACAACGTTGAAATCATAATTCATTTCATCGATAGAATATGGCCGCTTATTCATAAATACATCAGCACTTATACGATCATTAAGATGAAATAAAGTTCAAAAACAATTCCACTTGATAAATGCGTTGTCTTAAGTGTCTTATTTCTCAAGATTTTAGAGCTTGCAGTTGCGCACTTTGGTCAAATGTCAGGGAACACCAATTTATGTATTTAGTGATGATACGCCGTCTTTGAAAGCTTTATTGGCTTTGATGAAAATGACGAATGATTCGATTGCTTACAGGTTTGCGCCCGACCACCAAATGCCAAAAAATATTATAAGAGTCCTAGGAATTAGAGTCCGCTATATACCTAATTCACGTGCGATCTGTTATTGGTCATATACATTACTGAATGTTATGAAAATAGTAGATAAAAAAAATCATTTTTTGCAATTTTTGGTACGATATATGTATGGCTTAAATATTGAAATTGAAGTTTCTCCATAGAAGAAGTCAAATTTCAATTCAATTATTCATTGAATTGAATCATTGCCATATTTGAGTAGTTAGACAAATATTCAAAAATTTCATTTATTAGAAAGAAAAGAAAAAATTAAAACTAACATATATAATTATATTCTCTAACAATTACAAATTATAGCATTATTGATAATTTTCATACAAGAAAAGGCTGTTGATTATCACAACCTATGTATTCGTTACGGGATAAGTAATACCAAGTTGAGCACTTAACATTTGTATTGTCTTTTCATATTCTTGATTTAGATTTGTTGCTTGTTGAAGAGCAAATTTTAGATCGTTAACTTCTTCAAAAAAGCCACCATCAAGTACACTCAATTTTTTACGCATATCTTCATATCGTCGTTCTAATTTAATCATATGTTTTTGAGCAACAGCAGCTCGTCTTTCAGCTTGTTCTTTTTCTTTTTGACATCGAATTAAACGACGTTCATAATCTTCAACGAGTGCCGATGGAGGTGATGTTTGAAATTGTTGTTCTTGTCGATGACGAATAGATTCATTCTCATATTTGCTTAATAATTCATTTTGAGCATTGACAAGACGATGTAAACGAGCTTCTTCGTGCAAAGATGCTGGTGGTTTTTGAGGTTCTGATGGATATGGACGACGTTGAATAGTAATATCAGTTTGACATGAAATTGAACATGAACGAGTATGATCGAGATTTTTCTCTGCAATAGTTTTTTCAAGAAAATTAATATGATTTTTAAGTTGAACTATTTTTGCTTTGAGTTGTTTATGTTCATGACTTAAAAATACACACATATGAACCGGTGGCATATTCATTTTGTTTGATAATCATATCTAAAAATATAAAATTTTCATTTAGTTCTTTTTATGTATACAACGAGAAAAGAATTCTATATGTAACGATTCAACCACGTGTTTGTTATTGAACATAATAACGGTTCAATTTTGTTTTTGATTTAAATCGATACAGAACATATAATCACCGAATAGTGTTTTGAAAATTCGATGAAATAAATACTTTGATATCATCGATGTTCATATCGTGGGTGTGATAGAATAAATGTGAGACACGAGGTCACTGTTTCGCAGACTAAGCGTTGATTTTTGAAAATCGCTTGGCCTCTGAAGCTGTGCTCTAGAAGTCAAACATAGCTGGTCGTACTATCCACTTCACCCTTTCTTTTTGAAAAAACAATTAAAATAATAAATTAATTCAAACCCAAATTATTTTATTTTGTATCGTTACAAGGAAAGAAGAAAAAACAAAGAACTAGACTAGATCTACAATCATAACTTTTGTGATTTAAATTAAATAAACGAATACATTGTAACTATCTGAACTTCAAATAGAACTTTATACGTTAATAACATCACTGTTATACAACAAGAAACTAAATATTGGTTTCTATAAAAAATAAAGTTTTTAATTTAATTCGACGAAGGAATTGTTGTAGGTTTTGTCTTTTGAATTTTTTCTATTCGTGCCATGTTTTCTGCTGTTGAATTAGATGATTGAAGTAAACCATTACCTACTGGTGATTTACCAGGTAATAACTCACGCGTCGGTTTTGCACGGATTCTTTCATATATTGTTTTCATCACATCATTCGATGATGATGATCTGGAACTAGTCGTTGTAGCCTATTTTAAATGAGCAATTTTTTTCTAATCAAAACGAGAGAAGAAAAATTGTTTAGTGATTTACCGAAGAAATATTTGTAGTTGAAACTACTCGTGAAACATGTTTCAATGATTCGTCCAATTCACGCATGTTTTGAAATGAATTCGGAAGTCCTCGATCAATAAATGCTAAATGTGGACTACGACTTGGTAGCTATACAAAGTAGATAACAAAAAACTCGATTTAATACCTGAAGAAAAGAAAAAGGTTCATATACTTGTTTTGTATTTGAATGATCATTTAGTGTTGATGGTAATACTTTATGTGCATTTGCATCATGTTTACGTTGTTGTTCTAACCAATTTTTACCAATAACTGATGTGTCAGAAGTAAATGATTCTTGTATTTGTGTTGGCCGCTCCGGTGATGTTGATCGTGATGACGATGATGAAGATGAAGATGAAAGTGATTGACGTTCAATCGATGGTGATGTCTTATGTTGATTCGTCCAGGATGAAGATATTTCTCGTGGAAGTGGTTGTTGTTGATTATCATTCGTTGATTCAGTTGAAAATATATTACGACGTACGTCAGATTTCGGTGATAAATTATCATTCAATCGTTCTGAATTCATTTCCTGAGAGTCTATGGGGAAAGGCATTGTCTTATTTGATGGACAACTTTGTTCGATACCAATACCATTTTGTTCTTCTCGATGTGTAGAAGTTTCGTCTACATCTAGTATTGGCGGTGGTAGAGATTGTGTGACAGTTGCAGGCGTTATCGCACGGTGATTAGTAGGAGGAAGATCATAAGATGGATTAATTTGATCATGGTTATTATCTTCTTCATCAGACGACGCTACTGAATCATTTTGATGTTGTTCTTCGTGTGATTCACTGTTTAATATAAAATGAATAAATTTTATTTAGTCAAATCTAAGCATTTATCAAAGATTATTATCGATGTATATCAGTTACAGAAGGTTCCCTCATTTGGTTACAAAGAGTTTTATTTTTGGGAAAAAATCCTATCGTTTCAATCCCTGCAATAACTTACGTCATATGTTCAGTAATTTTAAAAGCAGTATGTGGTGATCCCTCTGCTATTTGAAATTCATTTGTTGAAATAAAGTTTGGTAATGCGGGTAGTGGAGGTGAACTGTTCGTTGCTTCCACTTTAGTTGATAATGATCTTGAAGGTGGAGATGTTGGTGGACTAAGTCTTTTTTCCACTGTAGTTAATAATGAAGTTGCAGCTGGTGCTGATGCTTTATTAAAAAACTCCTTTGATGTTTCAAGTAACTGATTCGCTCTTGTCATAAGTTCTTGTGCCCGACGAAGTTTGTCATTGTGTGACGAAAGCACATCACTTACATTAAGACCATTACTCATTAATGGTCGACCACTTAAAGATTCAGGAAAATGCTCTAATAAATCAGTTTGAATAGTTGTTGTTGTCGAACGTGTCGTATCTATGTCTGAACGAGCTGAATTTGTATTTAATGGTAAGCTGAGTGGTGACACTATTAATGGTGGTGGTGGTACACTTTGACAACGGTTTGTTATCATCGTTGATGGGGGTTGTTTATCTTTTGAAGCTGTATCTGAACCCGAATGTAAACGAGCTTTTAATCGCTCAGTTATAACATCAAGTTCACCTAATTGACGTCTACAAGAAATAAAGTAAATTTATATAGAACATGGCACGCATTCAGTTCAAATCAAATATGTTCTCTGAATGAGACATTAGACGATGAAAACTTCTAGATTTATACGCAAATATTGAATCTTTGTTACTTTCATAATATCTCAAAACGGATAACTTACTGAAGATTATTCATTAGAAATGATTTTTTATTATTGTTGCTGTTGTCATCATCTATCATCGATGGATTAAAAGTTGTAGAAAACCCAGTACTCTAGAATATTTCAATATAACAATCAAATTAATAAATCGTAACCTTTTCTCTCTTCACGTACAGTTCTTGCTGAAAGATCATTGCTAAACCTAGATGATGTATTACCACTGATTGTCGATGTTGAACGATGCGAAATGGTTGTAGTTTCATTTTCATTTGACTTATATTTAAAACGTTTTAATTCTAAAAGATCTTCTTGTGGTACAATACTAATTTTTAATTGTCCTTGAATATTCCTAATCGTATCAGTAATATTATACCAACCAGATATTTGTTGTAAACCAGAAAGTAATGCACTTAAATCAATAGATACAAAGCCAAGAACTGTATCACCTGATTTTTCTATTCAATCAAATGAAGAGTGTATCATTTTCATGCCTAAAGAATAACTTCAGCGATCACTTACCAGGTACCGTTTCAATATCAGCATTCACTTTATGCCAAACTTTCAAAATAAATGTTTTTTTCTCATTGAATAAATGTTCAACAGATAATTTAACTGCTTGCTGATGATTCCATATAGGTTTACAAGTTGATTTTAGAATTTGCGTACGACATAGGTGATGTGTATCAGCTGTGGAATACGAAACATATGGATTTGGTGGAACATGTGCATTTCTTTAAAAACAAATTAAACGTTTAACAGTAAAAGAAAACACTTTCACTTGCTCTTGTTTAGAATAAACATCAGGTAAATGTGCTGCTTGTTCAATATTTATTACCACGGAGAAAACATTGTTTGTTATTGTACGAAGTGCATGATCATGACTGGTTATATTTGAATGATGACGATCCACATAAATATCAAGTTCACGATCATTGGAAGCATCGATATCATCTCGACTCTAAAAAATCGAAAAAGATTTATTCAAAACAAAGATAAATAAAAACGATTCGACAGGAATGAAAACGAAGTATAATTGCTTAGAAAATTATCCTTCTTATTAGTAAGAACATTCTGGATATGTTTTCGCTGTGCAAATCAAACGAGCAATACTTTCATAATAAGCTTCTAACTCGCTAAGATTAAAATGAGTCTAGAAAAATATACCCGTAATTCATTGAAATCTTTTGACTTATCAATTGTTACGTGAACTTGAGCAAAAGCTCCACCTAAATCTTTGGCTCCATGTTTAAACATTGGTAGAATTGCATTTAATCGATGAGTTTTTCTCTTTCTGTCACATAATGAATTTAGATCGACATAAATCGATCCAATTAGTTTATCTGTCGATGATACGGATGGTGAATAATCATATGAGTCATTGTCACTGGTCCAAATTTGTACTTCTAATTTTTCTTCACGTAAATACCATAGAAACGGTGCACTACATAAAAATAAATGATCTTTGCTGAATTTCAATTCACAGATAACATTATGTCTATCAACGATTGGTTTTTTTCGTTTAGATATAATTGGCACTAAGAAGAAAACATGAATTAAAAAGCTTGATGAGTTCTTTTTTCTCTTTCAAATACTTTTGTCATAAAGTCGATATTGCACAAAAACACTTGTTCGATCATCGATACGATCTTTGCCTGGTCGAGTTGCAAGTTGAATAGGAAATTGAATACGATCAATTGCCATTGTTATTAAACATCCAAGATCTTTTTGATCTAAACAAAATCAAAGTATTTAATCTGAATGTTGATTTTGAAAGGAAATTTACCATCAAGAAAATTTTCTTCATCAATATAATCATTATCAAGCCAACCAAGTGTTTTAGCAGATTCAATAATACGTGAACGATCATCCTGTTGACCAAAACGAACAGATAATTCCAAGCCACCAACACAATGCTCCGATGGATCAGACGCTACTGCAGATGTCCGAACACGATTAGCACTAGCTAATGGATACCAACCTTTAATTCCTATTTAAAAAAAAGAAAGAAGCGATTAACTTAAGACAGGGGAAATTAAAATTGATGAGCTTTTTATTAGAGTCTTCTAGTCGAAATATACCTGTATGTCGAGATATTAAATCTTTTAACGAAATCGTACAATAACATAAATGAATATCTAATGGTCGTTTATCGATCTCTTGAGTTGCATCAGTTGTTCCACTCATTTGATGATAAACATCTATTTTTAATTCTCCATGTTCCAATATCTCAGCAAGAGATATTGTATGAGTGCGATTGTCATTCCATATCAGTGGAACTGGAAAATCAATAGAATGATTGAATTCAGGTACAAAACTTCGAGCGATTGTTCGTGTTGCTCGAGATTCCTTTGGATGGTAAAAAAAATAAAAGATCATGGATTAAATCCAAATATACACAGATTAACATGGAGAGAAGCTTATTTTAATACTCGGATTAGTCTATAGATTGAGATCGACAGAAACACCACATAACTAGTCGAGCTTTTACTTCATCTATTTATAGACTTATCCCAGATTGAATGAAATTTTAGTTGTAACTCAAAAATATATATTTTACCGTTTCCGATAGAAATGATAATGATAATTTTGCGTAGGTATTAACGCCAACTTGTGATGGATAATTTAAACGAGCATCATGTCGAGATTGAGACAGAGTCGCATGCTATTCAAACGAAATATGTAACAATATAGAACATTGAAATAAGACTTACTTTTAATCCACAAGCCCGAATGATACCAACAGAAATACACACTTGAGAATTTTTGTTAGCCAATCGATCAGTCAGAGTTTGTCGTTCATTTTTCTAAATGAGATAATCCTTCTTTTAATTATAAACTATATATTGTTGAGATTTTACGAATTATCTTTAAGTCAAACCGCAGTACGTGAATTTTCATATTTCTAGTTTACCTGAATTATATTTTTGTTATAAGTGACAGTCACTAATAAATCTCCTCCGTATGTGACTGGCAGAGTGTGTCGAGATTGTTCACGTTTTGGTTCTTCACGGACAATTTCAAGAGGTATACGAAATGATTGAGTTGATTTATTATCTCTATCGGGATTCATCATTGTTGTCATACCACATAATTTTGCAGCTGGTAATTTTGCCTAGGTAAATAATAAGAAAAGTCAGTCTTTATTTTTGGAATAAATAAACAAAAATTTACTTTAGCTAAAAGTTGATCACGAACATTCGGATAATAGAAACGGGACCAAACTTCAAATGGAATACAAGTTTCAATCGTTGATGGTGATTGACAAGCTTAAAAAATGAAAAAAGCAGTGTTAAATTTCAATTATTTCGTCGATATTACCAGAATAAAAATATTTATGTAAAACATCGGTCGGTGCAAGTATATAACGAAATTTATTAGTATCATGAAATGTTGGATCTGATGTACACAATGTTGTTGGCGTACGTATTTGACGAAATTCAAATGGTTTTATTGAATTAACATTCACTGATTGTTCTTGTTGAACAGGAAATAAATATTGTATAAAGCAATCACTCTCGCCCCAAACCATAGATTCAAATGCACGTAAGCCATTTATACTTTCAATTAATACTTCAAAACAATGTTCAGCTAATGTTGCGTGATCATTGTTATTGGGGTTTGTCGGCGATTTTTGACAGATCGATGGAGACGATGATTCTTTACTAGCATGTGCAATTTGTATAGCTGTTATCTGATCAGATGTACCCATAGCCAATAGAATTTGAAGATCACCATGAGATTTATTTATAGTTGTAAAAGGATCAATGATAGGTAGCCATGAGTCAACACCTACGACTGGATATTGACCACGTAAAAGAACTTGACTAATTTGTCTATCTTTGAATGATGTATAAAATTGTTCTAAGGATATTTTAATAATGCCAATTATTATATCAGCGGGACCAGAAATCTTCTTATCCCACACTTCAATTATAATAAAATTATTGTGCATTTTTTCTAATGCTGATTTTGTCAGTAATATTGGAATTTTCTAAAACGCAAAATTTGTCCTATAGGAATTTATTTTCTCTATTTTAAGTCCTGATTGATAAAGATCAGATGAATTTCTTCTTTTCTGCGTTCTTCGATCAAACATACGTAAGTATCAAGACTTCAACTTATTTTAATCACTCGAAGTGTTCTTATTTCAAGAGTTTATTTCTCTTCAGGGCAATCCTTTGTTTTAAGGGGGAAAATCTGCATTATGAATAGAATCAAGCAGCTATTCTATTTTAAACTCTATATCGAACCTGTTCAAAATTAAATTTTGGTGATAAACTACCCCAGCAAACGATGGATGTAATTGGTTCTTCATTCCAAAATGCACGACAAACAAAATATGGATTTCGTGATAAATTATCTAAATTAAAAGACGAAATAGTAAATTAAAAATTGTAAAAGTCGAATTTCTGTTTAATAACTACTATTTGATATTTGTAAAATATTTCGTGCTTCACTAATCGAAAGAAATACTTGTACAACGAATCCATCGTTTAAATCCGATGTTGATTCATGTGCCATAAATCCTTCACTTGAAAATGCTTTTGGTAATTGTAGATCATTATTGGGATTTATGATAATTTGTTTTGATTTCTTTTTAAACTTTTTAATTTTTCCAGTGCGTTGTTTCTTAGGTTTATTTTGTTCGATAAGGCGAATCCGATCAAGTTCAAGTTTAAAATTTGTAGCATCAGAATCAAGCTCAATCAGTACATGTAAATGTCCTATGGAAAATTTTTTCGATATTTTATTCGGAATTTTCTGTTGATTCATTTGTGTACGATCAATAACATTTAAATTTTGTTCTAAATGTAAACTATCAGCTTTCAATATATGACGAAGTGGCAGAACAGCAAAACCAATTTGCTCCGGAGCTGTTGAACCCGACATACGACTATAAACTTTAAAGATTAACAATGAACGCCACCAATTTTTTAAAATTGGTTCATTCAATAAACACGGATATGTTGATATATGTGAAAATGAAATGTCATTATTGGCTTCAAAACGTTTCGATGCTATTTTCATGACTTGTGTTGCTTCATTTTTTGGACCATCACGACTATTGGCAATAACAGGAAATTGATATTCAATAAAATATGTTCTATTTGTAGAAGTAAAAGCAAATTTTAAGCGTTATGTTTTTATAGAGAGTTTTACTTACGTTGCACGTTTACTTTTATTTGTTCGACCAAACGAGGAATGCGATGGAGATTCTCGATCGTTGTTCAAAATATTCAAACGTAACTGATCAATACGAACACGTGCTGTACGTACAAAACTTAATAAGTGAATACGTTCTGCGCCAAGACTATCATCATCATGACTTTCTAAATAAAATGAAAACAACTATTAGCAGCACAAATCCCAGTGAATTTAAATTGTGAAACACGATGTAATTGATGTTGATATCCATAGAAAGATTCTTCTTTTTTTTCTATTCAATTTTGGACAAATTCTTGAGAATATATTAAGTTTTACTTCGATATGACAACAATCATATTCGATCGTGTTTTATAAGAATATAAAAGTCTAGTACATTACCATTTCCACTATCATCTAAATCGGAACTTGGTAAATCAAATGAAACACGCGATGCTGTATCACTATCGCTACTTTGTGCTAAACTGCGACTTCTTGTTGAACGTGATCGATTCAATAATCCACTAACACGCGGTGTATTTGGACTAGGTGAACGTCCTGTTGGCGGTTTTCCATATGGATGAAGTTTATTGTTTGGTTTTGTTCTGCGTTTGTGATTATTATTATTATTATTAGTAGTAGTAGTAGTAGTAGTAGTAGTTGCAGTATCCCGTTTTCCATCGTCACCATAAAGAAGTTCATCTAATAAACTTTGTTCATGTTCAAGTCCATCGAGGTCAGTTAATATTGAATCATTCGAATTATTAAGATCTCCCATTGAATTTACCGATGGTTTTATACCAAGCATATCACAAATATGTTCATTGTCAAGTAATAGATCAACATTATCATCAAGCATATCTATAGGTTTATTGTCATATCGAGTACTAAGAATTTCACTATTATTATTATTGAATGAAGAGCGATTCATTGGATGAATTTCTTGATCGTTCATTGTCGTTTTTTGTAATGATGATCTCATCATATCGTCTCGAAGATGATTAGCACGTTCAATTAATGCTTCGACTAAATTACCAGCTGGTTGTTCTGTTGAAGTTTGCATACCTTTTGTTAATACAAGAGAGTAAAATAATCTATAGAAACTCATTTAATAACCTGGTTGTATATGTTTTGAATTAGTTTCATAAGTTTTGAAAGGAACTGTCGAATCAAAACGTTGTTGTTTTACTGTACTATCATTTGTATGAACAGAAGTTACATGTTCTTCATTATAAGCTCGATTCAATTGATCATTCTATAAAATAATGAAATTTTTCGACTGAAAAATATTTCTTATAGAAACCTACTTGATTATAATCATTAGCTCCAATTGAATTACGTCGTGATGGTGGATTACTTGCATCTGATGTAAAACTTATTGCTGCTAGATTTTCATTACTATCATAAGCTAGAAATGAAAATATTTTTGTCGATTGAGAAATCAAGAGTATATTTTATTTACTTCCAGGCAGAACAATACGTAGTGCAATGAATATTTCACCTAATTTCTCGCCTTTATTTGTGAATATAGATTGATAACCTTTGATTGGATTATTAATAGTCAACAGCGATAAATTTTGTACTTTGGCAATACCAATCATACGATTGCTTTCGGAATCATGTACTTTCAGAACAAGCTCTGCCGCATCTAAATATAAAAGTATTTTCAAAGAGAACTTTTTTTTAAAAAAAATCTATTTATGTACCTGTTAAATATCGACTGAATTGTTTAAGTTCACTTCGAATATAATATTTTCCTGTGGAACTCGGTTGATGTGAAGGTAATGGTGCAGCACCGGACACTTGAGGTCTACCATGAAAATAAAGTATACAAGTTTTAGCATTTAATTTCGTTTTTACTTGAATAATGCTGATGTTTCATCTTCACCCCACCATGTAACTTTAACAGTTACATATCGACTTAGACCATGATGTTTTGGATTCCAACGTAATTTAGGTATATGACAAATAAGATTCGCATAAACAGGACCTTCCACTAATGGCGGTAAACCTGTTCGAACACAAACATCTTCTTGATTACGATTTTTTTGTTGTGATTGAGATCGAGTTCGTTGTTCTGAAAACAAATGTAGAAAAAAATTGAATTAATTCTAGTAAAATTCAAAAACCCAAGCTTCAACAGAACTAGACTTTTAATATTTAATGAATGATCGAAATTCCAAAAAGAAAATTAATCACATCGATGTTGACATACTTTTAGGTGTTGTTGAGCGCTTTCCAGTTGCTATACTAGACATTTTTATGTTTGATAAGAAATTCGCGTGCCGTCATCTAATCTATATTCGAAATGTTGTGTATCTGCAAGTAGAAATCAAATTAATTCGTTGTTTCAATTTAAAATAGTATTTAGATTCAATTGAATCTTTGTTCAATAAATCCACCATGAGAATTATTGAACTAGTAGTTACTTAGCATTGATGAAACCCTCTACATAATTAAACATCAATAGTTGCAGTGACATCTATTGTTGAATTAACTGAAAAGTACATCAATTTTTTTTTTCATATTGAATATTTTTAGCATACATCTGATTTTCTTCGAGTCGCACGATAATATGATCAATATTCATAAAAGGTCGAGCAAGAGTTTTCCAGAGTAGTGCGGGTTTTAAAGTAAAGACGATCAGTTTGGAAAACTTGTCCTGTGGACACTTCTGTTTTTCTCTGACCTTATTGTTTTACAGTCGCTGTGTTCTTAGTGAGATCTTCATTTCATACAAAAATATGAGGCGCAAGAACAACTGTAATAAACAATTTTAATTGTTTCATACTTTTTGTCGATATTTACTTGCATTGTTGAATTGGAAGGGAAGAAAAACCATAGGATGACAAGTGAAACTAGTGAAATGTCAAAACTTTGACAGTACCATATTGCCGATTGTATAGCTCTATTATTTCTTGGTCTATATATATTTTATTTTCAAAGATTGCAATCAAACAAAAATAGTGATATAGTTTCTTTTACTAAAGTCGATCATAGAGAAATTGTTTTTGAGATGATCGATTCGAATATAAACAAAGAGCTGTAGTTGATAGATCACGCAGAGTAATAATTACTAGGAATATAATAGCGAGAAACTATGGATTGATGGTATTGATTATTTTCTTTCGAATAATATTTTCGTTTATAATGCTGATGACAATTATTGCGTTTAATGTTCGTCGATCGATACGATTGATAGTCATTAGAGTTTACTTTTGATTTGAAATGTTTTGGCAATATAGCAAGAGGAAGATGTGGCTGAATGATCATTTGATCAACAATATTTATTTGTTGCTGATCATCACGATAAGTTTCATCATATTTATCATGAAAAAAATCACAATGGCTATTATTATTATTATTATTATTTATTGAGTACTAAAAGAATATCGAGATGAAATTATTTCACAACATTTTATTTCGTACTTTAACTGTGCTAGATCGACCGATGGATATAATAGCTGAATCAAAATCCATCATAGCTCTAGATTGTGAATGACAATCTTCATGTTCTACTTGTGTTTTATTGAGAAGTGTAGCAAAGAATGCATCGTTTGTTGACATTGATGAATCGCTTGAAGCCCCATCAAAATTTGAAACAGTTCGAGTACTAATATCATCAGCCATCAGTCAACTTCAAAATGCCGACGCTTTTTATATTCTAGACGAATAAGTACGATATTAATATTAGATCTTTCTCACACTAAACAGTGAAATATTTAAAGCAGGCAGCCTGTGCTTTACCTCAAATGGTTATGTTGTTTTGATTTAGAAAGAAAGTACTTTATATACAAGTAATTATTGCACAATTCAAATCTTATGTTGAGTAATCCATGATATTTGTTTTTTTCTCCTTGGAATGATGATATGCAACAATAACAAGTATTACTTCATGTTGAGCAATACTATTATTTTGATAAATTTCAGATTCAATTTTTGTTTTTTCAAAAAGAAAGAGTGAAGTGGATAGTACGACCAGCTATGTTTGACTTCTAGAGCACAGCTTCAGAGGCCAAGCGATTTTCAAAAATCAACGCTTAGTCTGCGAAACAGTGACCTCGTGTCTCACATTTATTCTATCACACCCACGATATGAACATCGATGATATCAAAGTATTTATTTCATCGAATTTTCAAAACACTATTCGGTGATTATATGTTCTGTATCGATTTAAATCAAAAACAAAATTGAACCGTTATTATGTTCAATAACAAACACGTGGTTGAATCGTTACAAATAGAATTCTTTTCTCGTTGTATACATAAAAAAAGAGCTAAATGAAAAGATTTTTATATCGATATATATATTCTCTCTTCATTCTTACCGTTGAAATGTTGTTATGAAAAATTATTTGAGATGAACAAAAACGTTCTAATGGTTTCATATCTTTATGCAATAAAATTCAACATATATGCATTACTTTTGTATTAGCTATAACGTTATTCAAAGATCGATACAATATTAAGAGACCCATTTATTATGGAAACATCACTTGATATACAATATAAAGTTCACAAAAAAGCCTATTTGTAAAAAAATGCACAAGAAGAATATTTCAACTTTCGTGATTCTTTTAATAAATAACTAATTATACTACATCCACTTTTATTATCTATTTACACAGGCATTTCATAAAAACGTTTCAAGTTTAGGTGGTGGTCGCTTTAGATTTTCTTGTCCGGTTGTTGTCAATGAGCTAGATTTTATATTTAAATTCGACCTAAATTCATTTAATTGTTTGTGTCCAGATACAATCGGAGAATCTTCATCAGTAAAATCTGTATTGATGCTATCAATCATATCGATTTGTTCATGGTTACCCTTGGGTAAACTTGTTAATTGTGGCGATCGTGTTGTTATCGAACGTCTGTGTTTTACTGATGACGGCGATGGACTGTTAGTCAATGAATTAGCAAATGCCATGGGTCGTTGATGATAATCATTGCATAATAATTCTGATGATACGGCTGGAGTTCTATGTACGACGGATGGCGATGATGTTGTTAACTGATCATGTAAATCATGTGGACGTTGTTCTTTGTTTCGTCGAAATTTTTCTTTATGTGGACTATCTGTTATGGATATAGCATCATTGTTTTCAACAACATGACCTACTAATAAAGCTTGTTGTTTCCGTTTAGCTACTTCATTTATCATGCCTTCTGTTAAGCTATTCAAAGTTTCTAAACGTAATAGGTTAAGATCAACGTCTTGAAATTTTTGTTGGCGATATACATCGGATTGACGATGAACATATAATGCAACGATATCACATATAAATGTTGCTAAGCCAAGGATGCCAATCAATGAGCCAATATTTAAACTGAGCGTAATTACATCAAAACGACCAGCATGACCACTCACCTAAAACGAAATTATAATTTGCATTACTATTCTGTTGATTGTCTGTGTACATTTACATTTAGCTGGCGACGAAGTAAATGTATTGGAGATTCAAACATAAAATAACGATTTATAGTCTATTTGATACTAGTTTAGGTGTTACAAACAAAAATGACTCATTTTTTTGCATAGATTTTCTTGATCTCCATCTAGTTCATATAATAATAAAATGTACTCTTGTGAACTAAAATCGTTTTTCAATGTATCCATTTCTTAAGCTGAACAGTATTACTCGTATCATTGTAGTACAGAATAGTTCGAAAGGAAAAATCATCGATAACATATGAATTTCTATGAAAAAAAAAGATTGTTTAGTCGATCACTATGACTTGAATTATTTGAATCTCGATCAAAATTTAACTGATCGCGTCGTCTCTCCATTTTCTTCTCAATACTTTTAAAACTTTCATTATTAGAGAATTATTTAGTATAGATAGGCAAAAAATAAATACACTGAAATCGAAAACAGAGATATTCACGTAAACTTACAGAAATAATAAAACGAAGGCCAAATGCCTTGGTTAACGTACGAAACGATTGACCTTGATGCTTCCAATGTGAAGCAAAGCTAAACAAATATACTAAAACAAACAACGCTTTATTTTTTGAAAATTATTACCGAAAATTAAATCCTTGTGAAAAAGTTTCTTCTTTATAGGGCCCATCTAAACGGCCGAATGTGTATTCTGGCAAGCAATGCTCTAACAATTTATCTAAATTACATTTCCAATCTATTTTAACACGTATAACACCTCCATATTTTAACATATTCATTTGTTCAACAGGATCTGGTTCAACAATATCAAGAATAGTTGACACACGAAATATTGGACATATTTTATGATTCGCTTGATCGTAATTACATTTTTTAAGATAGGATGCATTTTGTTGAATATTTTTTCTAATGACTTTAAAACGTGGAAATTCAATAAAATTTTTAACGAATATAGTAAAATTTAATGCATCACGTATAGGGTTTGGAATATCACGATCATTTTCCACCGGACACCAACCTTCTAATTCACATCGACCTATCCTCGATAAAGATTTATTCTGAACAGTTTTAGGGTTTATTAAACAACGACCTAGAACAGGAAAACATGAATAAACAGTTAATCTTCATGTTTTTTTACTTACCAGTCCATTTTCCATTCGCCTAAAATACAATAAAAAAATTGTTAAATAGTTAAAATAACTTCCTGAAAATCATTCAATGTAAAACTGCGATTCATCATACCATAATGAAGTAATCATTTATTCTTTACTCTAAAAATATATTAATCTTGCCTTGAGTGATATCAAACGTAGTATTGTTGTTTTTGTCAAGTTTCCCCTCTTATATCATGGCACGCTATCACGTTAATTCTAGTACGTGATTAGAAATAGAAAAACAAAATTTACGGATCTAATATTTATTTGTTCGTAGATGCAGCAGTCAAGATCTGCTCTTCTTTATAATTTATATCAATTCAAAAATAGAAAAATATACTCCGATATATTTCTCATTTAAAATTCAAACAGACGAAATGAAAATGCAATTTTTTAATCATGTACACTGCATGTAAGGCATTCACTGTTATAACACGTCACTAAGGCGTTCAAGCTGAACTCTTCGAAAAAAAGAACAGAAAAAGCAACTAATTGGTATATACAATTCGGCGCGTGCCGAGTTATGCGCGAGTATTTGCTGACAACATGTTAAACTACGATTCATCAGTTATTTATTAGAATAGTTTGGTGTTTTACTAATGAGAATTTCTCAACTAGGGCCTTGCTTAGGGAAAAAATCGCTATAAAAGACAGTACCGCGAGGTTTTTAACTTCGTGTATTGGAGAATCGCTACATTTGTTTTTCGAATATACGAAGTATATCTTCGAGATAGTAAATCGCATGCTGGTTAAGTCACGTGTAATGTCAGCGCAATCGATACTCTGAAAAGCCTGATGCCTTTCAGCTCGCTCAGACCTTTTCGTTTTAGCTAACACATGCATCCATTGTCATATAAAAACATTATCTTTGCAATTTTCTACAGGCTCATATAGCCAGTCAAATACAAAGGTCACAGGATGTGTGAATGCATTGTATTATCTCGAGTATTTTTTGCTTTAGTATTCTGAGTACTCTAGGTAGGGTTCTATTTTCCTTGTTCATGAGCTAAAAATATCAGAGATCATATTCTTGGAATAATCAACATGGTTAAATAACTCTAAAATTATAAAAAAAAGCAAATCCTACTTTTCGAAATTCTTTGTTTAATTGACATTGACTATGGTTGACACAAGCTGACTCTTTTTCATCAGGTGATTCTAAGGAGAAAAAAAGCGCGGCATCAGTGAGTAAACAAAATTTGATTGATCAACATACCGGCACATCGTCTATGTTCTTGATCAGTTCGAATAAAATTTGTCATTAAAAATAATGCATTATTTTCTTGTGGCGGAACAATGTAATCTTAAATGAGGAAAATCTAGTATGTTTTTTTTGTTTTTTTTTGAATAGTAAATTTCATTTACCTGCACCATCAATAACTAAAGTTTCATTTGGTCCTGTTTGATTATAACCAATACCCTGTAAAGAAAAAAATTTAATTCATTTCTTTTTGTTTTTGTTTCTTAATTTTTTCTATTTACTTTCACTTTCAATGTAATTGATGAAATAATCGATGTATTGGTTTCTTGATAACCTTTTTTATGTATCATTAAATATGCAATACCATAAATTAGAATTAAAACTTGAATTAAACGGCACATGAGTGCAACTAGAATGAAGCAAGAAAAATAATTTAATAAAATTATATTTAGATCACTAATCAAGCAGTTAATTGGCGAACTCCATTGAGATTTGTTACAGTTGGTCACGTGAGAAACATGCATTAGGTCTAATTCTTTTTTCCTTCCCTGATAAAAGACTTCAGTATGAACATTGACTTTTGTTTTCTTACTTGAAATGGAATGAATAGTAACAATTTTTGGTGTTTCATATTCATATACGAAACTACGAAATATTGATTTCATATTAGATGCAGAAAAATATTCTCGTAATGATAAACATTGAACTGTAATAACGGGTGCTTCACCAGACATGTTTCTGTTCAAACAATATATTTAGATAATAGAAAAACGAAGTTTTGAAAGACGACGGTCTATAATAGAAAAAAAAAGGAGATAAATATTTATAATAATCTTCGAGTAAATATGATAAAAGCAGCTTCGGCGAACACATATTATTGGCCTTCGGTTTATGATATATGTATATTGTTTCCTATTTTGGTGCACTGAAAACCAGTAGAATAAGAATAACAACAATATACTGATGTTTGCTGTAGGCAAACATAGGCATTTATCCATTATCATCGTTTCTAATTGATAATCGTGCCTTATTTCTACGAATATATTATCATTATGATGGTTTACTGTTAAAATTCTTTTCTTTTCTCTCTCCAATAGACTCAAATATTTTGGCATCTACCGTGTATACAACTCGTCTCATTTATTATGATAATATGTCAACATCTATCATACGTCTATATGCTAATAAATACCAATGAACTTCATACTGATATATTTCTTAACTATGCATTTTTCCTATAATTTATTTTGTTTATTTAAGATTAAGATATTTCGCCAAATGGACTTGAATCTATTTTACTTAGAAAAACGTTCAAGATGTGAAAAGGATTTCAGCAAGTTACAAACTATTTTTCTCTTCTATTTATTGAAAAATGCAAAATATATTTTGCTGGAATTTTATATGAATTAAACTTTGTTCGATGGAGTGTTATAATATCAAATAATCCCACGAGAAAATAAACAATTAACCAGACGTATGTATACTATACTTATAGCTCAAGGCATTAGCGTATCGATATGCTTTAGAATTAGATAAATAGATAAAGATTCATTAGTGACTTATGAATGAATTATTCTATTTAAATATTTCCTAGATAACTTTTGATCTCAAGTAGTATTTTTCCGATTTAATTCCAAACAGAATAATAATCATCATCGTAGAAATTTTCTCGACTAAATTGAAGATTATTTTATGTATACACAAGCACATATGCTTCGTATAAGTTCTATCTGGGTCAATAATAGATGCAGCATTGTCTTCAGCATTACCTCGCATCGATCTAATCGGTACAATACAACAATCGAATACGCATAGGCATACATGTCCTTGATGTCACATAATATTCCATGATTTGTATTTAGACCTGCAATAGAAGAACATTTGATCAAAGTGTTTGTGCATACGCATGCGCGCGGCTCTATCAACTGAGCTTGTTCCGTCACAAACAAGCATTAATGGATTGCTTTTTCCTTCTTCTCTATTGTAAATGTGTTAACATTATTCCAAATATGGTTACGGCATGTGTACTTTTAATAAACTCGCATAAAAACAAAAAGGTTCGTTTGTCGAACCGCATAAAGTTCAACACATATTTTCCAATAGAGAGTGTAAGAGCACAAAAAAGGAGAAAAAAAGAATTAATGCGACATGTGCAAGAGACGATTCTGTGAACCGATGCATTTTGATGTTCTCGCTTTATTCCGCCATAGTTAGCCTATCATGGTAGCAGTGAAGTCTACATGAAGGACATAAATCATGTTCTTTTTTAATAATTAGTCAGATGCGATAAGTATTGCATCTGTTGTATTAAGAAGAAGAAGAAGAAGAAGGAGGAGAAGAAAAAAACTGAATGTGTTCAACACTTAATCCTTGTTGATCCCTATATCACTGCGATGTCATTCTCTTCTATTGATTGAAGCGTGCTAATTACTAATATGAAATTAGATTAAAAACAAAAGAAGGTCTTATCGTAAGAATTAATAATTTTCACACTAGTTTCTTGATTGAGATTAACAATAAAATACATCGACCAGATGGTTCCATGGAAATGTTAATCGATCATGTCACAAAACGATTTTCTGCGTATCCTGAATTAGCCTTGCCCTTAAGTATGACAAAAAATGCCTGTGAAACCTATAATTCTATCGCCAAATTCTATTATGTTGGACAAGAAAGATTAATAAAACACATACAACAAAACAGAAAGAATTGTCTATCATGCAGATACGACAATTTTGAAAGTCGTTTAACATGCAAGTTTGATTGTTTTACACTAAATCAAATTCATTTTATCCTTTTTTCTTTCTACAAAACTTACCGATTATCGATCATTACCAGTAAAGTCAAGTTATTTAAACAGAAACAGATTATTCATTGGTTTGGATCTTTTAAAAGAATAGAAATACAAGGATGACAAATATTGTTGAAGAGAAGAACAAAAATCTAATAGAAATCAGTCTTTATCATAACAACAAGAAATATCTTCATCTTTCTTTCTCAGAACACATAGTCGACATTTGTCAAATATTGACATGGAATTTTTTTTTGACAGAATAAAGCGTTTGCCTATTACTCGAGATCTCTATCTTTCTTTCTTATTATACACTAGAAATATTCTCGGATAATATATATATATATATATATATATATATATATAGAGAGAGAGAGAGAGAGAGAGAGAGAGAGAAATTCTATCTTACCGTAATCAATCAATTCCTTTTATGAAAGCAGAATGCGTGAAGTCCAAAATAAATATATAGAAGGAAAGAACAGAAACTGATGATAACAATAAAGCAAAAATCAAGAAAACCAAAACGCCCTCATCGTAGAATACCCATTGCTAGAATAATTAGTAGATCGATCGAACGTGTGGATATTCCTATTGATTGTCATTTAATTCTTCTTCTTTTCTTTTCCCCTTATTGCTCTGTGTCTCTTGTTTTTTACATCTCCTATTACTCACATGTTTTAGAGACTAGACGCGGGTGGGAAAATAATTATCATATTTTGTTTTTGTACGTTATGAAAAATCGAACATAAAACCGTATCAATCATACTTAACCTTACGATTATGTAGTAGAATTATTTTGAAATTATACAAAGAAACATGAGTTAGTCTAGTAACAATCTGTATCTGGCTGTTCTCTAGTCTTTCGACAGATAGATTTGATTGATAATAATAATATAAAAAAAAAACGTTAATTGAGATTTTCTCCGCAAATGTAGTGCTCCTGAGAATAATACATTTACGAAATACAAAAGAAAAGGTAACATTTTGTCTTGAAGCAAATCTAAATTTCTATCGCAAAGCATATGTGTATTTTAATTGACGGCTTTTTTTTTACATAGAAAATAGGTAAATATACTCGGCATCGGTACAAACAGTTAAAATCGCAGTTTGAAAAAAAATTCAATTCTAAATGAACTGTTTTTCAAAAAATTAGCCAAATGATAGTGACGAATATGATTTTGAGTAGCATGATATGAGTTAACAAAACAATCGGTTAGATTTATTTTTTACATTTTATTATTGTTCTTCATATAGTGTAAGTCATGCATTCACTCATGTGTATGTCTTTCTTTCTGTAAACAAGTAAACGAACCATTAGTATAGAAAACTCAAGGGAGCCATCATTTTTGAAGTTTCATTAAAGAGAAATTCTTACTAACTTGTACGAAGAAAATAATACGATAAATGTCATAAAATAAATAAGAACATACACTAGCACTGTTGTATGATTAACAAATTATTAATCAGCTGTTAGAAATAACCAGATGATATGGGTACGTAAGGAAATCTCCAATTAATATGAAATAACTCTAGATATCCAATTCGACATGATATCGAGTCTTTTCTTCTTTATTTCTTTTTTTATGTAATCCCAGTTATAAAACTCTAATATATTTAGCAGAAAATCGGATAAGTCAAATATTAATATGATGATCAACATATTTGGTTAACTGTTTTGTCAATGTGCGCGTCCTTGATAATAATATAGAAATGCAGCTGGATGTTATTATCAAAGAAAATTTATTTGATGATATTATAATGCTATCGCTATGAGAAAGAAAATGTCTCTTCGATGAACTCAACAAGGCAAGGATTTATTTTTTGCTGAACTAAATTATATGTTTCTAGTTTTGATTGATCATAGTACAGTTACTTTCAAACTTTGATGGAGTAATTCATGCATATTTTATATTCTCACAGCAGAAAAATAAAATAAAATAATAATAATAATAAATCCTACTTACTTTCTGATTCATCCATAAAGACTCATTATTCTGTCGCTCTGCCATATACGAAACATCTATCAATACATATGATACGAGTATCGCAGATTTTTCCATCTTGATGGTCTATGATTATGTTTTGTGGAACGACATGTCATATGTAACGGGACCTCGAAAGTTAATAAATATGAAATATATTACATAAGCAAGGATTTATTTTACGCATGCTTATTCACTTTTATGCTCGAGATAACCTTTAAGTCAGAAGCAAAATTTATCAATGATGATTACTCGTTACTCTTGAATAGCTATGAATAGAGCTCACATACATGTATGTAATATTCAACAGGATACAGAAGAACTAACTTTTATTAATTAGCTGAACTAGAACATGGAAAATCTTGATTGGTTTGTTTTGTAATAGATTTAAACAATATAATGAATCATAGCTATGGGAAGAAAAAGAAACACTCCTTTGAAGATTTGATTAATATATGTCATGTAAGCTGACATTATTCTTCCTCCCTTGTCATGCAAGACCTTTGATTAATGATTTTATTTATTTATAAATTCGAACTTGAATCAATCTATTTAAAGAGCCATATGTGTAGTTTTTACGAATGCGATGATGTGCAAATTGTAAATTAATTTTTTTTCTTTCGGCCAAAAAAAAAATTTTACTTCATGTCTTAAAATGACCGTAGGTTTTTCAATCAACGATATTAATGTCATGATTGATCTAATGGCATAATAGTCTGAAACATTACCCCTCTAGGGAAACCAAAATGAACTTAGAATTGTCTACTATAGGTAAAAGCTACAATAATCATCAGGGTTTTCTATGAAAAAATTTTCTTTGTCAGAAATACTCTAATGGTTAAATGTTTTGTTTCGATGGCTAAAAGTCTTTTTTTCTCTCTGCTGACGATAGAATAATTAATATCACCTACAGTGGTTCCGTTTTGCCGAATAAAACATTTATAAGACTCGTTAAATTTTAAGATTGTTTGAATTTATGTTTATTATTGTGGACATTCAAAGGTAGCAAAGTGCAATTCCAGCAATTGATCATGAAAATGAATTTATGCTTTCTTTTCTAAACTAGGAAAAAATAAGAACATATTTATGACGGCTCATGCAAACATGAATACTTCATTTCTCTAATAGTTTTTGTAAAATAATTCATTTTTTAATAATCTTTCTCTCTTACTAGATTCAATCGCATGCTAATTCTAACAGTGTCTATTGATTTTGTATCCTGTTTATAATCTCGAGCACGTGGCTGGAAAGCTAAGGCGTCCTGCCGTTACTTTATTGTAGTTTTTTCAATAAAAAATCTTTTATTTCAATATGTTTCTATGCATGTTTTCAAGTATTATTAACACGAAAACAAATGATGAACAATACAATCACAAAAAATATAACTGGAAACGGAACTGTTTCAAATGAGAAATCAATTTTTGATCGAGATTCTATGCATAAGATAGATCCTAGTGAATCATCGAGAGTTTTTAAGAGGTTCGTGCGCTTTCTCCTTATTTAATAACCAGCTGAACGATACTCTAGAAGATATTGTGATAAATGCCAAAGCATTTAACGATGATACGTTACTCATAAATAACAGATTTGTTTTTGCATTAGGATATCTAAACTTTTACTAACAGTGACAACTTTCGCAGATTAAACGTGATTGTTCTAATTTCAATATACTATAAACAAATGACTAAAACTCCTGAAAAACAATTACATGAGATTTATCTTCTTGAATCTATTCTATCTCGCTAGGATCCACCATATGTACTGAGTTCATACTCAAAAAAAAATTTTTTTCTTGAACAGTTCCTTAGTGTGAAAGAAAAAAAAGAAAGAAATTTCATATCTGATTAGCATCAAAACAAAAAGAGAAAAGTTACTTTCTTCATTCTTCATTATCATCGTTGTCCTCATCAGGAATAGCAGGTGGTGTCAAAGATGTAGAAGTTCGTGAAACACTTGCAGGACGAGAAGAAGCCGACGTCACTGTGCCATTTGCATACACAATTTCAAGTTTCTCGGTATATTCAGCTTCGAGTTGAGCAGTTTCAGCTGTGGCATCGGCAAGAACTTGTTCGTAATACGATGTTATTTCAAAATTTTCCAACTCTGCTTGCAAATATTGTTCATTGAGTCCGTCATTTTCACATGTTAGTGATTTATATTCAACTAACAGCTTCGTATATTCTAAAACGTAACAGTAACTATTTGAAAGAAAACAAAATGTATGACACAGCCGAGAAATTCAGAAAGATGCCAAAACATGGGAAAGAACAGATTGCGAATAAACAGTATGACCTCATTTCTTGAAATGATATCCAATTTCTGCGACAATTATCTGTATCCCATATGTGTTGAATTTTCGGTAGTATTTATTCAAAAGGTTCTATACATTCGGAAAACTCTTAGATTGCTTCAGCTCATACATCGTTTCTGAGTGTATTATATACACCAATAAAATACTCTGAATATTCTATGAAGAATTCTTATCCTTAATCTGTCATGTAAGTATCTTACGGATGTGAAAACGATTAAATTTCGAGGTGATATTCAGATTTCCCTAGACAAACTCCTGGCATGATGTGTTTAGTCTTAGATGAGGAATTATTTATGATTTTCCTAGTTTTTGTTTTCATAAATTTAATTCGAATAATCACCTTGTTCAAGATCTTGTTGCAATTGATGGGTTCTATTTGCATCTGCATTGAGTTTTCTTAACTGTTCACAACAATCGTCTTCAAGTTGTTTACGTGTAATGTTGAAATTTTCAGTAGTTTTCTTTAAAAGAGTTTCAAGTCGATTAACTTCTTTTTCAAGATCAATCTCACTCATTGAATCATCTTTTTTTTGAAAACTAGTATTTTTTAAATTGTATTGAAATTTTAAAAACTTATCATCAATATCAACAGAATCTGGATTTTTTGATGCATATTTTATATTCATTAGGATTTTATTTGTTGATGTACATTTCATAATATTCAAAGGTTTTTCATTAAAATAATGTGGCTTATCAAGAATAATTCGATCAACTTGATCTATAAAAACAAAAACTGACGCATTGAAATGAATCAAATTTCAATTGTTTTCTCTCACCATAATCGGCGAATTCAACAAGAATATAATCAAAATTAGCTTCATGACAATATTTACAAGCATAAAGAGTGCCGTAAGATGAAAAATATTCACGTAAACATTTTAGAAAGTGTTCATCGACGTTTATAGAATCAACAACAATCAATAGATCTCGTGTTGTATCTATATGTTCACGGGGATTGTCATCAGTATATGGAACAGCGCGTTTCACGTATCTAAATTAATGAAGACAAATACAATGAAGAAATGTTTATCGGTTTTAAAATATTCACAAGTGTTGACCATCGAGTCGATGTGGTCGACTAGACATACATCGATCGACACCTTGAAGATTTGTATAGGTAATAAAAATAAAACCTCTCCCATCTGGCGAAGTGAAATTGTAATGATCTATGGTACCGAATTGTTCAAAATGGGTTCTTAAAAAGTAGTATTCAACAATATTTCAATTGACTGTAAAGAAATAATAACTTACAATACAGTATGAGGTTCAGTATGATAGCCAATACTACTAATGCAAACCTCTAAATAATGTGTAGAAGCAGAACGATTATAAGATGACATGATTATCTAGAACATTTTAAGATTTAATATTGCATAGAATATCTGAAAAGAAGATAAAATTAATCGACGATTATATCTAGATTTAAGAATGGCCGTACTAATTGACTAATCGTACATTAGTAGGGGCACCACATGTATATATTTAATCACCACCAACAAGCTCTCGTTGTTAATAATTCTATTATTTAACAGAACGATGCATGATCTTATTATTCCATAGATGACAAAGAAAAGTCGAGCGTATTACCATATAATTATTGCTAGCAGCTGTTATTAATAGCTGTGATTATATAGGATATGATTATCTCAAAATATATTAAGAAATCAAAGAGAAAGACGTGCGCATATAAGTCGTAGCCTGCTTACGACGAAAACTCGTGATCCTAGACATAGAACACTGTGCAAAGACAGACACACGAAAGAATAGGTTAGAATACTAAGTTCTATCTTAGGTTACGAACAACACGATGGCACTCCGCGTTGTCGTTCACAATACTTGAAACAAGCATCTAACGAATCTTAGTAACAATTTTTTGTTTGTATTTGATTTCAATTGAAAATGCGTATCATGATTGTATTTGCAATAGACATCTTTGTGCAATGAACACATTGATCTTTTGATGTTTACCTTTACAGTAACTATTGCAAAACTCTATATTATCTCTAGGATAATAGCGACGAGTACTATGAAAAAAAAAATCATGAAAATGTATTCACTCGATGCTACAGTGACCTTCAGTAATCGAATAGAAAGTGTAAGTAAATAGTCTAATTTAAGAGATTCAGCGAAAGCAAAGATAGATTCTTCATGTTTCGTAAATATATTTTTTAAGGATAGAAAAAGATGCAATTTTTTCTAAACACAAGAAAATTTAATTTAATCTCGCTATCATTGTTAGTAAATATTTTCGAGCTTCTTGCATTTCCTGTGATACTGTTTCATATTTATTTGTTAGAATTGATAATTCTTTTTTTAATTTTGTATTGTCATTTGATAATTGAGAATTTTTTGTTTCTAAATTTTGAATAACATAAGACTCTTGCTTTTCCTTCATATGAATTTCTGTTCGCATTGAATCCAATTCCAATTTATATTGATGTACCAATGATGAATATTGATCTATTTCATTGCAGAATTTATTTATTTGTTCATTATGTGCTTTCTTTAATCGATCTATTTCTTGTTCATATTCTTCTCGTTGCTCTCTAAGATTCTTTGATAGATCATTTTTAAAACGGTTGACATTTTCATAGCCGTGTTCAGATTTTACTAAATGAATAGTGCTTACAGCTAATCTTGGATTTGTATTCATCTAAAAAATTAATGATATGAAAGAAAGAAATTTAGCTGCTTATCCGATCGGCGTCAGGATTAGGGACACGGCATTGCTTTTACGAAAATTTCTTGTCACCTAAAGGAATCTCACGAGGAACAGTTGAAGAAAGAAATTCTTGAAACGTTAAGCATTCAGAAAAAATAAAATATATATTTAATTAAAAACGTTTAGATACTATGGATCTATACGAAACATGAATCATAAGTTTTATATGACAAGATAAAGAACTAACAGTATTCAACTATCAATTTATGATATAGATAAACACAATGATTATTGTTTTAATACAAAAATGGGTATTCTATAAACGAATGATTTGAATAGTTTCAACACAAGAACCACGTGATTTAATGATGCATTCATTGGAAAAGTGCATGAACATAGAATATAATAAGAACTTGAAAATTTTCTATTGGCTAAGAAGAAAAATAATGTCGTATTCGTTATATATATAATCCTTTCGCCTAGCAACGATTTCAGACATGTAGCCGAATGATTGAAACGATACTGTACAAACGTCCTTCGAATTATTCTGGACGGAATATAACTTGTCAGATGAACCAAATTGAACGATTGGAAATTTAGTTTCGACAAGGTTCTATCTATAATACTAGTACTAAAAATTTCATTTGATGATATTTGTCTTGTTATACGTGAGTGATGCCTCATTGTTTTTGTCAGTTACCTTATCGTAGCCATATAAAAACAGTTGTAGTCATGCAAGCATTTCAAATATTACTCGAGAATAACATATCTCAACAGATAATTGTACATCAACAAGACGTAAAATATGAAATGAATGAAACTTTCAAAAAATATGAAAATATATTTTTGGTAACTAATTACAACAAACATAGATTCTATTTTAATTAATATGCATTTTTTAGTCTTTTTAAAATATGTGTGTAATTCTTAGGAGAAATTCCGTAGTCAATCATTATTATTATCATGAATGTTTACATAAATACAGAAAAAATATCGAACATCAATAAATACAATCAAATATGAAGCATACTAATAATTTTTTCAATTCTTTGTAAAGCCGCATCAAACATAGATATTTTAATTGTAAATAAATCGGGATCATCAATTGAACGAAGACGTTCCAATTGTTCCATAAATTCTTGTCCTATAGCTGAACATTTCAATTCTCGTATTCTTATTTGAGCATCACGATCAAATGATTCATTATCTAATTTAGCATTGATGATTTGTGTTTGCGATCGTTTTAACATTGACGACGGTAATTGTTGATGAACATTCGTATTATGACCATGATGTGGTAAACGACGTGGTGATCGATGTACTTCATCGTTGATTGCTAAGACAGTAGTGGAACGAGCAAAGCGAAATTCATTTGATGGTGGAGGGGGTGGTGGTGGCATTTTACTCTTTGCAATTATTTCGTTTGTAGTGTCTGTTGGGGGCGCCATTGTATTACTTTTATCACCAAATAACTTAAAACAAAAGATTATTAGGTGCTTACGAAATCATTGAGCTTACATCAAGAATACGGGTTGTTTGTCGTTGATTACGATTTGTTGGCCGAACAATATTTAATACTTCATTTTGATCTAATCGTTCGGGAACGAATTGTCGTTCATTTAAATTTTCAGCTAATGGTTCACCAGGCTATATCAAAAAGAAAACAAGTCATACGAAATGTACATGTATTATATATTTAGTTGCTCAGCTATGGGACTGCATTCAATAGAGACGTGTCTATATTCTTCGGCTTCATTTCCTGGTCATATGGTTAACGTTTTAAAAAATATAGACTTACATATAGTCGAACATACTTATATAACCAAACGCCAAAAGGAACATCGATATTCTTTATAAGAACTTCATCAACTTCAGTTCGTTCAGGAACAACTAAAAAGTACGCCGATATAATAAAAAGAAAACCATAGAAAAAAGCCAAATAGAAACATACTTAGTCCAGGTCCTGAATAGCCAATGCGTCGTTTTTCTTCCATTAAATGTCGGTAATCATATCCAAGACGACTAGATGGTGAACGATGAGCATTAAATAGCTTGAAAACACAATCTTACTCGCATGCTTGTTTAATTGAATAATTTACTGGTGCAACATTTTCATCGCCAAATTGTTCATGTTGCTTACTTCAATCAAAGAAAAAATGAATCATTATTCGAATATCTTATTTATTATTCTTACTGAACATTGGATTGACGTGAAACACCAATTAATGTACGACGAGCAGCTGATGGCATCGGTGTATGAGCTTGATTACGTGGAAAAATTGATCTAGAAGTTAACAATAAAGATAATCTAAAAATCTAATTTATTTAATTCTTACGGTCGTGATTGAACAGGTGGGTCACGAGTCGAACTCATTGCTGGACGACTGGTTTGACGATGAGATGTTCTAAAAACAAAATATAGTTAACATTTTTCATTTGACAAAAAAATGATTTTTTTAATCTAGTCAACCGATATGCATAAGATGAGTAACTATCTCTGATTAATTAATGTTTTACTTTGTTTGTTGATATTGATTTGGTGATGGTTGTCTAGAGAAACAGAAAAACAGCGGTTTGATTGGTATGAAAGCAATAATCAAAATTACGGTGCAATTCGCCGAATAGGTTGTTGTAGATGAGACGACGGCATTGGTGGCCGAAGACCACCTGATGTAGGTGGTCGCAAGCCACTAAAAGATTTGAAATATGAACTTTTGAAGATAGACGGTATGCATGATGGAAACGTACCTTGAACGAACGGCTGACGGTGGACGAAGCATAATCCAGAAATGTCACTTGTGACGAACGACCGATCAGATCTGTGTCGAAACAAAGGTCTTTGTCCCATGGAATAACGCGGGCGTTCGTGAATCGAAAGTATTTGTGAACAAAAAAAAAGCAAAAATCTCTTCTTTACTTTTATTATCAATAGTTAACAAGTTAATTAGTTGATAACGAAGAAGAGAAAATTCGATGGAATAGATGTCACTATATGATCAAATCGATTGAGGTATTGTCATAGTAATAGATCTCAATAGTTTCTTTGGATTAATAATAAACGAAAATCTTGCATTGAAGAAAAAGTGAGATGACTCAATCAATCGATTTTCGTATCAACGATTTCATCAACGAATACCTTGATTATAAAGGTTATACGGATACAGTTGATACGTTTTCACAGGAACGGGAAACTCGAAAAGAACCAATTAATAACATTAATAATGGAAATATTTATGAAAAAGAAAAAGAACGATACCAAACAATTAAAGTATACGCTCATTCAAAATAATTTCATTTCTTTCCATTTTCTTCTTGTTACTAGGAGAAACTATTGAAATATCTAGATAATGGAAGTCGTGACGAATTTTTTCAACTTTGGTCCGAACATATTCCATCAAATATCATCGATAGTGATCCATCATTGAAATCACTTGAATTCTTACTTTATACTCATTTTGCTATTTATTATTTACGCTCAAATACACCTCATAAAGTATTCTATTTCAAGTTTATTTTCATATACATTTTTTTCTTTTCTCATTTAGAATGCTAAACTCGCTCAAGAGAATATGCAAGAATTTAAAGGATATATCGAATCAATTAGAGGTCAAACTATATCGCAAACAAGTGATATATTACCTTTATTTGCTTTACCATATGTTACAGAACCAGAGAAAAATGCATCGTTTCAAGAATTGTTCACAGTTTGTTTTGCCTCTTTTTTCATCTTTGAAAATATCTGTTCTGTTTTTGTTACATTAGGATAAATGGCGAATACAAGTACGCACAAAACTATTGAATTTTTGCGATTGGATTTTTTCAAGTCGCCCGGTACCAAATCTACTTCAATTATTACAAAATGGTGAACGTGCGTCACATTTATTGACGCAAATACATAACGAAAATGAAGAACTTAAATATCGAAATAGAGAAACTAATAGACAAATGAAAATTGTAAGTACCGACTATTGTAATCTGATTGGTAAGTTAGATAGATTTTTATTATGTTTTAATTTATTCCTTTTCGTTGTTTTCAAGGGATTACAATGGAATTAGTCGAAACATTACAACAGGCTGTTGTAGGGAAAGCTATTACAAATGAATATATTGATAATGTATGTGCACGTCTTGGACTAGCAAGATTACATGAAACAATGTTTAGTATGTCGGATTCTTCTCGATTGGGGTAATAATCAGTTCTAATCAAAAATTTTTTTATGAAATTTTCACCATACTTTCAAAAAGAAAAATATAAGATCTATAAGTTTTATGGATTCCTGATAAAAATAAGGATTGTCGTGTTGAAAAATACTACCAAGGTTTCATAGCTCTGCGTGAGACATTCTATATTGGATTGAGTTGAAAGTATACTTTTTTTTATAGACACGAAGCACTATCTGTGGCGGGTATATTTTAAGGCTTCTCTGATCATTTGCCCTTGGATTAAAATAGGTCAGTATATTAAAGATGCACTACAACGGCATATTAGTTTTTAATAGTTTTTTTTGCATAAAAATAACAAAAAACTCCTCAAAAGAATATTTTTTCAAACAGAAGAGAGAAGGAATCTACCGTAATCAGTGTAGAGCTAATTATTAACATATTAAGTCAATTGTTTCTCTTCTATCAAAAAAAGGACAAAGTGGATCCACATTGAAATCAATATTTTATTTATTATAGAATCGATGATCCGTTTATAGAAAAACTTGATTATGGTAAAATAAAACGAGATATTGTGCATCCATCAACTAGTTCACGTGAAAAAGCTCTTTTACTTCAAGCACTGCGCTGGAGATTAACAAAAGCTAAAACTGATTTTAAACGTGAAAAAACTCTTGAATGCTATATTGGCTGTGATTTACTTGGTTGTCGATCGGACGTTGAGCAACGAACAAAAATTATTAAGCAATTATCATCAACACTCGGTGGTGATACATATTATGCCAAAGAAGAATGGGCGCGTTTAATGAATACCATAGCTTCGTTAAAAAAGGGTCGAAATTATTTGTCGCCAAATGAATCATTGATTATTGCTATGCAAAAGGCAGCCATGTCTGAATCATCAGATACACTGATAAAACAACATTTATTAGCAGCATTACAAAAACTTAGTTTGAAGTATAAACATATTTATTTTAGTATAAATGATCAGTTGTTTTTTCGTTTGTAGGCGTTCTGTACAATCGCTAATGATTAATCAGAATATAATTAAATGGTTAATAACAGTATTGAGTAAAACTGATCGCCTATCGGATTATACTTTAGGTAAGGTTTCTTCTATCTGTTTTTCATTGAAAGTTGGGAAAAGTATGCGGAAGTTTGCGAAACAGTTTTTAATCTCTCGATTAATTTCTGTCTAGTACGTCCCCAGTTATACAAGTTTCGTTAAGCAACATATTGTAGCGAAAATTAAAGAAATTATAAGACGAATATCTCCGATTAGGTCTTATATTTAATGATAATCATGCCTTAAGTCTCGCTCGGACAGCAGTTCAAAGAAAATCTTAATGCAAAACATACATTTTCTCGGCTGAGATTCATTAAAACTATTTCTAACTAGATGATATGTAAACATTGAGTATGGACAATCGGAAAAAAAGAGTGGGAGGATCAGAAGGTGATATAAGATCTAGACATCTTTGATTTTTTCATACAATGCTAAATGTTTCTGTCCATAATAAGACAATATTTTACGATAATTTTAAAACAAAATATCATTGCCATTATCTAATGGCAATGATACAATTATTCAAGCACTTTTTATTTTATATTTTTTCAGACTTTCAAATTGCTTTTTTTCATTTCTTATCTTTCTAGAATATGGAGTTGCACTATTGATGAATCTCTGCTTACGTACAAACGGTCGGAAAAAGTGTGCTGCAGTAGCTGAACAAGCTATTACAGTACTTTCATCTCTATTAACTCATCCGAATCATGAAGTATATTATTTATCTATAATATGACACTAAAATCTTCTTTACATAACTAGACTCGACCATACGTGAATTCTTCTTTATATTCAATTTTAACTCTAAAATCAATACGCGATAAAGCTATGCAACTTGTAAGTTGATTTTTATTTTACATGGTTCATATAAATCAAATTATATTTAAAAAAAAAACTCTATTACAGAATCTGGATAATCGTCTTCGATTTATTATTGAAACGGAAAGATCCAATTCCGAGACTAAAGGCCAATTAGAATTTTTACTCAATCTTCTCTATAAAGGAGGTGATCAAGATGGTAGACAAACATCAGATAATGAACAAGACAATGATGATGTAACCATTTTTTATATTTTTAATCATATGTTCTCTTGCTTTTGACTTTATTTTTTTAATTTTTTTATAGGAAGATCAAGATATTATGGAAGCTGATTTAGATCTTGGTGATAAACTACGTGCATCTGATAAAGAATTAAGCGGAGACACATTGATCGATGGACAATATACTTCTCTAAAAGGATCAAGTTTTCAAATATCTTATCCTAATACAATGCATTCATCATTAGCCATGGATCCTCTCCTTAATCGACCTATAACACCTGGCCAATATCGTCATTCTAGAGTCGCACATACAGTTGATTCATTTACAAATAATCTATCTATCGGCGATATACATAATAGTCGTAATAATCATAACAATAATTATGAATATGAAAGTAAGATCCTTACAAATTCATCAAAAAAGCCCTTATCAGCTGTTAATACTCCGATTGCATCCGATGATCCTGACAAACAAATAGATTTCAATGAGAATTTCAATTTAAACAATGACCTTGATCCATCGCCAACAAAACGAACAACAACACCGTCGATGAAATTTTCTTTTGATGAACAACATCGATCCAATTCAAATGCATCTCTGCATTCATCAGCATCATCTGCCATTGAATTAAACAACGAAAATATGGATAAACAATCTTAACATGTATTTTATTTTATTTATGGTATTAATACATCTATTTTATGGTATTCAAGCCATTGCTGAACGAATAACTTCTTTACAAAGTTCTTCCCGTGCTCGTTGATTGTCGATTTTCTCTTGTTTTTGGTCACGTTGTTTTGCATGCAAATCTAATTGATATTTTATATCATTATTCACACCCCTAAGCTTTTTGTTCATACGCGTAGCCACCTTTTTAGAAAACGAGAAATATGTGAAATTATTGAAATGCTCTATTTTCTATATATTTTTAATATTACTTCGATTTGTTGCGCAAGACTGATTTCATGTGGTTGTGTAACGAAGCTTGATATTTTTCCTGGATTTTTTGAACCTATACGCCCAACACGACCAGCACGGTGAATATAATCAGAGATAAAGCGTGGAAAATCAAATTGTATTACATGTTCAACCTTCATAAATAAATAAATAAATAAATAAATAATATATTGAATAAGAAAAGAATCTATGTTTTTATTTTTACCCAATATGTATCAACTCCTCGGGAAATAATATCAGTAGCGCACATTATTTTATTTTCACCATTACGAAAATCTTCGAGATTTTTAGCACGTTTCTAAAATAAAAATCATCAATATTTATCTGGCATGCCGAAAGCCAATAAACGACTTACCGTATCAGTCATGTGACTATGCATAACAAGAATATCAATACGTTGATCATGAAAGAATTGTCGAAGAAATCTAACGGTTTTTGTTTGATTACAAAATATTAAACATGGATGTTTCTTTTCTATATCGTATTTGACTAGTTTTAATACAAGACCTAAAAATTGACGAATAAAACATCTCATAGTCATGAAATATCGATAACGAACCGAGTTTTTGTTGATTACCAATACGATAGAATTTCTGAGGAACATGTGGCATAATACGATGTACAGACGGAGTTGACATTTTATCGATTTCATCAGTCTATCAATGAAAAATAAATACAGATGCGAGCATTTTAAAATCATCGTTTTTGTTAATACGAACACTAATCAATTCTTTGAGGGTTTCTTCTGTTGCCGTCGGTATTGTAGCAGAAACAAAAACAAGTTGAACAGCTGGTGGGGCACTTTTTTCAAGATTAGTGATCGGTTGTACGTCAATCTATAAAATTCATTTGATATATTTCAATGAATTTTGAAAACGTTCATCGCTTACTTCTAAACGTCGAATAATTTCAACAACAGCAGAACTAAATGTAATGTCAAGTAGAGTGTCAGCTTCATCAACGATGACATGTTGAAGATTACTACCGATCAAACGTCGTTCAATTCCAAAATGTTCATCTAAATCCATGAATATTATAAAAAAATACAATAGATAAAAAAAAACATGATTTACCTTGTCGTAAAAGTCTTAAAAGAATACCGGGTGTAGAAATAATAATATCAACTTCACCAAGACTAAAATTAAGAGGATCCTATCAAAACAAAAAGAGATTATTTACAAATTTTGATCAAAAACTAACTAAACACCTCCGCAAAGAATTCAGAGAGAAGTAAACACCTCTGTACTGTTATCTATTTAGCCAGTTTTTTTCACTAGATTCTAGTGATATAGAAAAGCTATCAGTGAAAAATCCAAAGGGAAAGAGGTGGATTTTTGGGATTTTCAAAATCCCAAGAAATCCCCAAATTGAAAAGTATTTTTCCTCCTGTGAATATAGTTTCGACCTGAAATTATTCCCACATATAGATTTCATGGTTCATAGAAGATCATAAAAGGTTCAACACGAACAAATTTTTTCTTCTTAAAATATTGAATTTTCAAAAAAACTGTATTTTCTGATCGTGCCGTGAAATGAGTTTTTCTTGCGCTTTCATTATCTTGAGAAGAAAACATGTGTTTGCGCTGAAAATTTAAGAATATTCTAAGGATCACGAGATTTACACACGGGGAAAATTCAGATGGAAATTCCATCATTCACGTTTTGGATTTTGGGATTTTCAAAATCCGCCTTTTCCCCATTGGAGAAATCTCTGAATCACTTGTGATAGCTCTTGTTACGAGAAAATCACTTACTTTATTTGTATTAATACCAATTAAACTTCGCGTTCGAATATTTAGCTCTTGAAATACTTCTAGCATGTGCTAAAAATAAAAGTCAATTTATCATTAGAAAACGGAACGCATTTCTCGTATTTATCTCACTTCTATCTGAGCGACTAATTCTCGAGTTGGTGCAAGAATAATTGCAAATGGTGCATTTTCCATGGGTAGTAAACGTTTTGGAGATTTCCATTGAAGAAGAGATTCAACAAGAGGTACGAGATATGCCAACGTTTTTCCACCACCTTTTGAAAAATAAGAAACAATAACATCGAAATATATATTTTTCAAACAATTGTAAAACTTCTTTCTAACCAGTTTCAGCTGTTACAATCATATGATGACCTGATCGTAATCGTGGAATAACACGCGATTGAGTTGAAGTAGGATTATGAATATTTGCTTTGTTAAGGATTTCTACAATTTCTGGCTTACAATCGAGTTGTTCAAATGTTTGAGCAGTTGATTGAGTCCATGCAGGATTTTTAAAGTGATGATCAATAGTGAAAAAGTCACCTTTCGATAATCGATGTTGCCATGCACCGGACGCTACATGTTTATCAGTCATTCGTCGATATTCACGACCTTCGGGAACAAACATAGCTTTTTTCTATTCTGATTTAACAAAAAACATGTTCTCATAATATCTTATCCTAATGAGAGTTATCGGTAATAAAATAAAATCCATCTAAAGAGCTTAACTTTGAAATATTTACCGCAGATCAAATATGTGAATGGGATTAAATAATCTTCTGCGACACGGCAATAAGCTCATATTTTAAGACAGCGTTCAAACTATTGACTGCCGAGCAAACATTTCAAATATAGCTCTGCTAGATTATTATTCTTTTTATTATGTATCCTTTCATCAAAGTTGATGAAGTGCGAATGATAGACTACCTGGATAATGATTAAAGTTCGAACGTTTACACGCGATAACTGGGGATTGAGTTCGATCCTAAAAATAAAGAGAAACACTTTTTTTGAATATAACATCGCATCCCTATTGATCGAACTTACGCCAGGTGGATCTTCTTCTTGCTCTTTTTTATAGATTTTCTTTGCTCGTTGTCGTTCAATATTTTTTACCATTGAATGTGGCACTTTTATTTGATTACTTGTTTCAATCGGATTCTATTTCAATGTTTTATATTATTTAATTTAAGAATACTGTTTGTTTCTATCAACTTACAATACGATATGACGCAACATTGATTAGATATGATTGCGTCTTACTCCGTGTTAATGCAGTGAACAATCGTCGATAGCAGAAATTCATCTTCAAAATAATAAGTAAAAACTGTCAAGAAATACTTTTTCTTCTTGGATTTTTCATCTCTTTTTATTTTCAACAAAAGAATATCAAATTAACAAAAACAATTCCAGATCATGTTTACGTAATTTTTCTTCGATATTTTCAACAATACGTAACTTAACTTTTTTCAATTGACCTGTATTATAAACACGATAGATTTGATACTGTTGATTAATATCTGACAAAGAGCAACAATATTGCAATTCATTGTATGTTATTGGAATTAATTGGCGATTCGTACTCAATGTACTTTTTACTTCAATATAAGTTATCATTTGCGATTTTAGATTTTTTATAATGAAATCATATGGTTTTCCTTGTTCTAAGATTTCATTGAGCCATAGGATTTCAATTTTTTTCGACTGAATTTTATCATTATATTTCGTACGAAGATATTCATTAACCCAATGTTCACCTGAAATGTTTATGAATAAAAAAACATTTATTGAGCTTCAGATAAAACAGATATATAGGTTTACCCCATCGGCCAATTTTTTCCAATGATCCTTGATCTGAACCAATTGTTGAATCTCGATTACCAAGTACTTGATGAGTTAGATCTTCAATACTGACGCTTCTAGTGTGTCGTTCAATATTTTCATAGGGCGTGTCGACTAGCAATGATAAGGCACCGGAGCGAATAGTATCAAACCGAGGATTTGAATCATTCGCTGTATCTACAAGGAAAATGACTCGAAATACAGATTGAAAAAATCAAATTGTAAGCTTAGTTTACACAAGAGTGTGCGTGGGTGATAAGTGACTGAATTTAATTTCGGACCTTTTTAAGAAAGATTTCTAACAGAAGACAAGAGAAGAATTCTGTTGTTTGATGTTTTAAGCCGGGTTTCGCATTAAAAGATAGATTTTGTTTTTGAGAATATTTTTCTGGTCTATCAAAATCTATGTCTAAAACTCAATCATTCGACACGAGCTTTGTATTTAACAGCTGGTAAGAATCATGGATTCCTAATATGAAGATTATAATATCGATTTCCTAGAGGAAAATGAGCACAGAGTGAGGAAAAATGTTAAAATAAATGACGATAAACTTCATCAATTGAATTCTAAGCATCTATTCTTTACCAGAAGTATTTTCATTTTCTGTTGATTGATTATTTGTAATCGTAGCAGTTTCAGACAGTTTCTTTTTCAACTCCTGTCGTTTCTTTTCTATATAAGTAGTATAATGTTCTTGACTTTGAGCAACGTTTTCAAGTAGCATTCGAACCTTCTGTTCATCTAAATAGAATTATTTTAATTTGATACCTATTTCTTTTGTCAATGGCTTTAAATATTTACCAATTTTCGGTTCACTGTGTTGAATTTGTTTTGAATTCGATGGTATTCGCCATGGAATATCGTCTGAATCGTTAAGTTCTAAATCAAAATTTTGATATTTGGCAAATGTTTCCAGATTATTTTCTTCTTCATTATATAATAAATTCATAAAATTGCCAAGCGACCGAACTAATTCATCATTATGATAGGGTAGAAATATTCGAGCAAATGCATGAAATATATCTCGATAATATTTCGATTGTTCTGTCCATTCACGATCAATATAGAAAGTCATTTGATTTTTATCATAATATACTTTTTCTTCTCGAATCATACAAATAGATGAGTCGGAATTAAAACGATAAATCAACTGAAGATGATCAACAATATTAAATTGAATGTTATTAAGTTGTGAAGACATATCTATTAACTTTGTCCATTGATATGCATCGAAAAATTCTGGACGAGATTTCATAAATAATTGAATGTAGGGAATTAGTGGTGAAAGTAAATTTTGAATGAAAATTCCATTCGATGGATTTTGAATAATATGTTCGATTGTAATTGATGACGAAAGAGATTTTATATCGCACATATTAAAAAATTGTAAAACTAGAATAATTAAACGAATAAAATATTTGAATTATGAAATTTATTTACCGTCGGGCGATGGTATGTCAATCATTGAAATATTATTCATTTGCGTAAACAATTGAGCGATGTCATTATTGTCAGCTATCAATGGATTATCATCCAAAGATACCCAACGATGATCTCTCGTAGGAAAAATTGATTTACGTGATAGTTTATCTAAATTAAATTTCCGTACTAGAGCTTAACGTTCTGTTAATGAGTTTGATAGTAAATAAAAAGTGAAAGTTTAGGGAGAGTGACATTGAACCAGTGTCTTCATCTGGTCGCATATCCTCAAGACTATTTTGCTCAGAGGGGAAAAGGCGGATTTGGGATTTTGAAAATCTCAAAAATACTCTTTTCCTCCCTTGATTTTGCTTCTTTCTACTCGTCGTACTGTTGTTCGCTAGTTTTATTGGCGCGATTTTAGTGTACTCTCACGTATCGTTATGGAACGATTTTAATCTATAAAATTGTCATTTATTTTAAATTAAACATAATCGAGTAAGTCTATACATCCTCGATCACGGCATGATCGTTTAGAATAGTGAAAGAAATAAAATCTGTGAGAATTACATAGTCGAACACTATCTATAAATCTAATTCACACTAATATTTGCAATTGATAATAAAAAAATTCTCCAAAGCCGTTTCTTTACAAGACTTCAACTTGCTCATTGTCATATTTTTCACATCTAGGTACCAGACTGAATAGGTGTGGACCTACGAATAGAATGAGATTTCAAAAACTTAATGTTTTAGAGATAAGAAACGATAGGAATGGACACGTATGATGAATATTAAAATAATTATTATTCAATAGAATTCTTACTACGTAAATCTTGTTTGTCTATGAGATTATTTGATTGTTCATGCCATTTTCCAATGGTTTTAAAAATTAGAAATGCATCTTGTATTGTGTTTTCAGTTGTTTCAAGTGAAGAAATGTGAACTAAATTTTTGAAATATCGATAATGTTAAGAAAATAGATTATTGAATGCATACCTAACAGATTAATATATTCTTCTATTGTTGGATTCATAGGAATCGTAAATGTATCAAGAAAAATTGATTTTTGTTCATTATAATACGGTTCAAGTAAATAGTGAAATATTGTTTTAAATGATGATGAGTATTTCACCAATAGATTCGTTGCATCACACCAACACACTTCAGATATGCTAAAAAATCTACCAGGAACAATGTCTTTACGGTCCGATGATGATGAAATCGGTATGAAGAAAATAGAATTATTATTAATTAATTCTTTTAATTCATTAATAGACATATTTTCGTAGATGTATCGATAGATATTTTGCATATGATAAATAGAAGTGTAGAAAATTGAATTTTGACACCAATTCAACAGCATACTAGTAACATCATTCAATGTAATATGCTCAATTAGGCCAATATCATTTGCAAATGAAGAATTTGTATTAATCTCAACATCAATGTATTGAACACGCTGTCCGAAAAGTTGTTCAATTTGTTGTGTTCTTAAATAAATATTATTTGCTTTATCTAGTTTACGAATTTTATTTAAATCAATATCATTTGTTTGTTCATTATAAGAATAGAATATTTGAATTGTTGGTATCCATATAGATTCTTTCAAATGCTTGAGAAATAATTCGTTATCATTGAACAATGAAGAATTTTCTTGCAATGCTAAAAAGAGTCTTTTATTCATTGATATAGATTCGATTTTAATTAAAGAATTAAATTGTTCATAGGTAGAGCTATTAATTGGAAATAGAAAATCAGAAACACCTAATTCTGACAAAAATTGATGTAACTTTTTACGATGATTTACTGATAAATTTTCAGGAATGTATTCATCGCTCATTAATAGCCAATTGTAAGCATGGAAATCTTTTGCTAAATCATATGGATTGCCATATTTTTGTGTGAAATAAATCGAATGATGAATTGGTTGTTTGAAGTTGTCATTAGTTAATATTTGAATGGATGATTTTAATCGAGACATATCGATATAATGATTCTAGAAAAACAAAAATCCATTCATTAAAATCATTATTCACTTTTTGATTTTGAAAAGACTTTATTTGGTGATAGTCATGATGTTGCTCATAGAGATGCAGACGTTTTCTAGCACACTAGAGGGGACTACGTTTGCACTTATCCTTGTTGTACCTTATTTAAAGGATCGGAACGTTAATTTAATACGTATCTTTACTTCGGAAGTACGCCTCCCTACGCCTGTAGAAGCTTCGTTCATTAGCTAAAGCCTTCTTATGAATCCGACAGAGAGTATGAAAGATTATTATTTATGACTCTACCTGTTTCAACCATAATTCAAAAATATACATAACATAAGCAATGAGAGTTTCTGACGGTTTTTCTTTCCAGAGATTGTCATTTTCAAAAATTGTAAATATATGTTGCTCACAAACAGCTCGATGTGATAAACGTTGTATTCCAAGTCTTTCAAGGAATGTTTGTATTTGATTAATTTCTATAGAAGTTTCTTCTAAATTCATCCATAAGTCTTCATCAATAATCATTAAATCATGTTCAATTAATTTTGGTAATTGAATATTTTTCGACGGAAAGAAAATAGTTTGATTAGTATGACGTAATGAAATAAATTTTTGATGATTTTTTAATGGAAATATTTTTAATGATTGAATATGTTTTAGTACATTTTGTTCGTCGATTAGAGATAGCTGATTTAAAGATCGATATAAACAACAAAACCATTTTGAAAGAATTTTCGTGTTTTCAAATGTGATTTCTGATGTAAACATTCGTTTAATAACATCAATTAGTTCATTATGTCCAAGGCGATGTACACCTAGCTCCAATAATTGTTTCTCATGTTTATATAGATCATCTCTTAAATAGTATAAATTAAGATGATTATATAAAATTTCTGGTGTTAGAATTTCTTTTATAGCTGAATCATTTGCCAGTACACATTCGTTTGGCAGATGTAATTTATTGTCATTAATAACAGGTAAGAATGGACGAGAACGTAATAGACGAAGTATTGTTCGACAGACTGGTGTGAAGAGATTATTACTATAAATTGAAGTTTCATTTGGCAGAAAATAAAGAAATAACCGAAGAGAATCAATAGGTAATGATAGTTGTTCATGATGAAAAGTTTCGAGTGATGAAAGAAAAATAGTTGGAATTTCATTAAGCAGAAATTGATTCCATGTGCTATCACTTAAAATATCTTGACGTGAAGATGGAACCTAAATAGTATCATGATGGGAAACTCAAAATACGAATGAGACAAAACTTACTTCAAAATCAGCTTGAATGATAAATGTAAAACCAAACTAGAAGCAAATGATATTAATATTTAAAGTTTGATTTGAAACTGTATGTCCTGTGATCTTTTAATTGAATAAGGCATGCATCGTGCCTGAAAAACGAGGCTGAGTCAATACAGAGAGAGTCAGGAGAGATACTCACCGCTTAGTCTTCTCTATCGGGATTGAAAAGAAAAGTTTTTCCTCATTTGTTTTTCCATAATATTTCTGAACATCTAACTCAAACGCACAGTATACATTGGCAAATACAAAGCAAAAATATTTAATTAAGCTGAATATGTAGATGAAGTAGCGGATTTGTGTCTCATCGCCGAAAGCTGACATAGAACTGTCCCTCCGCGTTGGACATTGTTTCGACGATCTTGTTTTCACCGATATGCATTCTGACCAATACTCCTAGGTAGTAGTATGAATCTAAGAACTATCGAAAGATCTTGCGGTAGGTTTGAAGCTCAGTAGAATGTTTGCTGGAAGCATTTGTGCCATTACCACATATCGTATTGGCTAAACTCAAAATACTTGCATTTAAAATATCTGCTTACCGTTCTTAATGGTAAATACGCATAAACATCTTGTTTAGTTAATATAATTTGTTCATCGTTATTATTAATTTCATGTAAAGGAAAAGCTAATGCTATTTCTGTTGCTTCAACAGTGTCATCAAAACTTGCTGTAACTTCTCCTGGAACCTTTAACTGTTTTTTAATAATAAACCATTTTTCAATAATGTGCCCGCAACGTATTTCAATGATGCTCGTGCCAGGTATATCAACTCTTTCATAGATTTGTTTGGAATCTTGTAAACGATTATGAATAGTTATTGAACGAAGACGATTTAAAAACAGTAATAGCGATGGGCAAATGTCATTGAAACTTTCTGTTAATGAGCGTGATTTATGTTTTTGCATTTCATTTTCCGATTTCAATGGTAGACATATTCGAGTTGTCCAATTCGAATATTCCATATCTTTGCTTTCATCTTTTATCCAATCAGGTAATATATAACCAATAGAACCATTAGCAGCATCAAAACAAATTTGATAACCGTTAGAATAAATTTCTGGACGATCACTAAATGGTCAATACTATTTTTTTCCTGCTAATGAAACGGGCAGCAATCAACTTACCAAACAGTAAAAACTGATTTAAAACCAATGCCTTTTTGTCCGATATAACCTTGTTTATGTTTTCCTTTAGTTGACTTGCCAATATCGCATAATGCTTGAATATTATTTTCTTGAAATCCAATTTCATTATTATAAACATTAATTGAATTAGAATCAATAACAAAAACGAGACTAGGTTTCGAATGGTATTGATTATCATCAGCATTTTGAATTAATTCAAGTACAAAATGCATATCCGTATTGTATAGTTCTTTTGAAAGACGTTCCAATGATCGACCAACGAGGGATTTCAATTGATCAGTCAGAGATTGACTTTCATTTGAAAGAGTTAAACCAATACCAAATTTTTCTCGACGAATACGTTCGATAAAATCATGAGGATTGTTAGCGGAACTTTCTTGTTTAATTTTTGAAACTAATTCCGGTACTATAACGTGTGGAACGGACACTGACACATGTTTCTCTTGTTGAATTTTGATTATTGGTTCGATTTTAATTTTCTCTATTGACCATTCAGTAAATCCTAAGTATTCTCCTAATTGAATAAATTTTAGGATCATATTCGGATCTTGTCTATCAATAGTTTTCCATAATAGTTCACGTATTTTCATTTGACTACCTTCAAGTTTAATTAACGGTTGAAGGAAAATTCTTTCAACAACTGATGAAAGAAGAAGAAATGGTATACGAAGAAAAATGCGTATGAGAAAATCATATAATCGATGATCAAGTGGTACAGTTAGGAGAAACGTATGCACAACATTGGAAAGAAGTGACAGCGGAGCATTGGATAATGAATCATGTTGAACGAGAATCGATACGAGGTGTCCTGCAGTTAAAATTACATTGTAATTGCAAAGAGATTCTTTGAATAGTTCAAATGTAGAATTCGAAGATAGTTTTAGAAATGTAATATGATCGATTTCAAGTATTGGAAATTTATGTCGCGAGAGAAAGACTTTTAGTTTGCCTAACGTTGGACGAAAGCGTAAATTCCATTGTGTATCCAAATGAAGATTTCCAAGAAGAGAACAGTGATTAATGGCATGTAAAGCTTTATGTTCAAGATCTAAACAGAGAAGTCATGTTTATCAAAAATAATCTCTCTTAAGAGTATGCCGTTGACGGAGAATTTAAGATTTATTCTAAGCTGTGTTTCACAGAAGCTACTATTGGTTCAGTTTGACTCTCTGGCATTTTGAGTATTTAGAAAGAAAAATTTACAGAAGTCCATTTAAGATGATTCTGTTCGCTAACTTTATTTTCTGTTACTTTTAAACGGAAAATAAAAATATGTAGAATTTCAATATGAAATCAAAGTTTAGTCTAAATCTGTTGGCATCGAATGTATATTCACGAGAGCCGATAGTTCATACATTCTCCCACGAATTCATCATGAGTAAACAGATGATGATGATTCAGTTGATCTGTTTTGTTAGAAAAATTGTTATGTCGAATGTTACATTAGATAGTTCTCTCGGTAACTAGATTCTGAAGTGACATCTATCTTGAAACGAAAAATGAGTTCTTTTAAAATAATATTATTTACCCTGGAGAAATGATTTCGATGTTTTATTTAATGTTTGTTTTATTAAAGGTATTTCATCGAAAAGGAGACATTCATAATGAATTGATGTATTTTTAGGTTTTGTATGATGTTTAATCGCATCAAATATTGAACGAAATGAACCATGTCCAAGTTGCTCAAATGATTCAACTTGATAATGATAGCAAATCATTTGTTCAATATATTGTTGATCTGTTGGCCGATCGATTATTTGAATAATGAATTGCTCAAGATCTTCAAATGCAACTAGACATGTGTTATGCGAATCGTCACATCCAGATGACGATAAATTGAATTTGATATCAATAGGAAACAGTAACTGTTCGTTTTGCGCGATATAATTACTAAAAGTACCGTGACCTAATTCCTGAAACTGAGCTACTGTAAATTTTTCACATAATCGTTGTTCAATTCGAGTTAATAACGTAAATGTAAGACTTTTCAATGACCCGATTTGTTCTTTAAATGCTTGAAGAAGTTGATTATGACTCGGATGATTAACTACTCGTTCACATGGCTCTTTTGTTAATTTAACTTCATCATCGGATTCATCAGATGAATCAAAATAAATTTTCTTATTTTTATTGGATGCTTCTTTAGATTTAACAGCTCGAACCGGTATATCCAATTTGCCATGACAAATAGCTATTTGAAACATGTTTCGTAGCATTGAATCTTTCGAAATAATATCAAGTGCTTGAGATATTTTTCGAAACGACGAATAACCTAAAGAAATATTCATACTATCAAAGATATTAAATCCATTCAAAAGTAGATATGCACATGATTCTTTTTTTCTAACCTTTAATCTATAAAATAAAGACCACCCATTACCTTCGAAATCTACCTAGTCTAAGATATATTCAAATAAACCAAGATCTTCCGTATATGCCGAGGTATTTCGTAGTTTCCTAACAAGATAAAATTGCTGAACTCTTCCGTGTCTATTTCTAGTCAAATAGGAACCGATAAAAAGTATTACATTAGAGAAGTCTAGGGTAAATCGTTCTTGTTTTATGTTTTACAAAAAACTTTTCTAACTCGATTGACAATAAAAGTTGAACTTTTACTATGTGAAAAAACTTAAAATTAGCGTCACTTACTGTGACAAACGTTTCGACAAATTTCAATAAGATCATTGATTATATCAATTGGATTCATCGATGCATATAATTGGCGTAGTTGACTAGTACTATCATTATCTAATTTATCATTAATAGTTTTAGAAATTTTTCCAATTTCTTTCTGTACAAGATCAGTTAGTATTTGATCTAATTCCGTTCTTGCTATTTCCATTGTTTTACGTTGATTTGCTTGCAGCGCTTTAATACACTAATAAAGAAAACAGCAAATTAGAAGATTTATCGATAGTTTTAACTTACATTTCTTGCTAAATATGCACTTTTCATACGAATACCTAATTGATTGATATTCTTAACGTGAACTTGTTCAGCAATAAATTTCAAAAATTGATCAACGTTTAATTCATTTTCGTTTTTCCAAGCAGCTTCTTTAGTCATATATTGATCAAGATATTTTAATACATCAGAACTTTTTAAATCTTTTTTTATATGTTCGTTTCGAGCATGTCTTAAACGAAATAATTCTTCAATTTTAGGTTGCTTTTCAATAGGACCAATTAATAATTCATTATAATCGTTTTTAAAGAAAATACGAGCTAAATCATTTTCTAACTCATTCAATGTACCAATAGTTTGCCAATATGCGTATGCATCAAGATAGATATTTATCTTATTTTGTGTTCGAATAAGATTATCAATACAAGCTATTTTATCAGCACGTCCAACACCTAAATTGCCAATGTCTTGAACATGAAAATACATGAGAATACGCCAAATAACATCATTCCAGCGTACTAATTGTCCTTCGTCGTGAAGAAGAACTATTTGTTTTGCAGCAATCTCATTGATATGCTAAATATCATAAAATCTGATGTTAAAATTGATCTTTCGAGAACAGAAAAATTGGTTAGTTTATAAGAGAAATCGATATACTCTATGGTTTGAGTAGATCAAGATATTTATGTTTTGGTGAGCTAATCAGTATATGAACTAACGAGGATTTATGCGCTAAACATGTTGAGAGAATGAATCGATTTTTGAAATTCATAAAATCTCGTGAAGAATTTCACACTAGAAGGCATTAGAAAATCTACTATTGAATGGAATAATTTACATCAATTTCTTTATAGGAAAAACTTAACTGTGAGAATAAACCATCAATGATATAATAATATTAAGTTAACGCTGTGCGGTTTCTTTTCAGCAATATCGGAAAATCCAAAACAATGCTATCTCCATCCTGAAAATCTTTAAACTAAGTGAAAAATCTTAAATCTATCTAAAAATTACTTGTAGAGAAATTCGTTGTGTAATATTATTTGTTTGAGCTGTAAACGAGATAATGTTCGGTGTTGCAGGGAAAGGTGAACGAAGTGAGAATTCTAATGGGTCTGTAATTGTACTCGAGTCTTGTTTGATCACTGTTGGGACTGGTTTTTTTTCAGTTGTTGGAGGAATAATAGCTATGGATGTGTCGGACTCAGAACTACTGGATGAAAAAGTAATACGAGTTCGTTTGGGTGTAGCTGAAAAAGAATCTAGATGACAACAACGTTCAATAGGCAATGCAAAATTGATACTTACGTAGTGTTTTCATAGACGAAGATTGATTGAACGTTCGTTTATTATTTTGTTGTGGTTCAAATTTTGATGAATATTGTTCAATCAGTTTACTTAACTTTTTAACATACAGTTCCCATGGAGCACAATCAATTTCTAGTTGATGTTTAAGTCGAAGCGTTTGCTTATCATAATCTTCTTGTGACAACTTGTCAGTAGAAAACGAATTATCAAGTTTATTTTGTTGAGATGCATAGGATGATTTAGTTGTTCGAATTGCTGTTTCAGCAAATTCTAGACCTTCTTTGGCTGATATATATTGTCGATTATTGAGCAGAGATGTCTGTCTGACTCTAAAATAAGAGAGAAAATTCTCTAATCGGAAACATTCTATAGAAGACATACAATTCAGAAACCGTTGAAAGACCAACATTGTTCGACATGATGATATTTTCAATCCGAAAAATAAAATATTCAATCTAAAATTCACAAGTTTTCGAGTTTTTGATCGAGTTAGTTAGACGAAGATCAATGAGTGATTGGTTCATTTACAGATTAATACCAATCATTGAAAGAGGTCGTAAGATATCGACACTGACTATTTACGAAATGACTTCTATAGGAATTACAAAAACAAGAATTTTCTTATTTCATTTGCATAGATTCATTAGGGATGAAATGGCCGAGTGTGTGTGTGGGGGGGGGGGGGGGACCGAACCAGGTTG